CACAGTCACCGCACTCACAGTCACCGCACTCACAGTCACCGCACTCACAGTCACCGCACTCACAGTCACCGCACTCACAGTCACCGCACTCACAGTCACCGCACTCGCAGTCACCGCACTCGCAGTCACCGCACTCGCAGTCACCGCACTCGCAGTCACCGCACTCACAGTCACCACACTCACAGTCACCACACTCACAGTCATCACACTCACAGTCACCACACAGACAGTCACCGCACACACAGTCATCACACTCACAGTCACCACACTCACAGTCACCACACTCACAGTCACCGCACACACAGTCATCACACTCACAGTCATCACACTCACAGTCACCACACAGACAGTCACCGCACACACAGTCATCACACTCACAGTCACCACACTCACAGTCACCACACTCACAGTCATCACACTCACAGTCATCACACTCACAGTCACCGCACACACAGTCACCGCACTCACAGTCACCGCACACACAGTCACCGCACTCACAGTCACCGCACACACAGTCATCACACTCACAGTCACCACACTCACAGTCACCGCACACACAGTCACCGCACTCACAGTCATCACACTCACAGTCACCGCACACACAGTCATCACACTCACAGTCACCGCACTCACAGTCATCACACTCACAGTCATCACACTCACAGTCATCACACTCACAGTCACCGCACACACAGTCACCGCACACACAGTCACCGCACACACAGTCATCACACTCACAGTCACCACACTCACAGTCACCACACTCACAGTCATCACACTCACAGTCATCGCACTCACAGTCACCGCACACACAGTCACCGCACACACAGTCACCGCACACACAGTCACCGCACTCACAGTCACCGCACACACAGTCATCACACTCACAGTCACCGCACTCACAGTCATCGCACTCACAGTCACCGCACTCACAGTCACCGCACTCACAGTCATCACACTCACAGTCATCACACTCACAGTCACCGCACTCACAGTCACCGCACACACAGTCACCGCACTCACAGTCATCACACTCACAGTCACCGCACTCACAGTCATCACACTCACAGTCACCGCACTCACAGTCATCACACTCACAGTCACCGCACTCACAGTCACCACACTCACAGTCACCGCACTCACAGTCACCGCACACACAGTCACCACACTCACAGTCACCTCACTCACAGTCACCACACTCACAGTCATCACACTCACAGTCACCACACTCACAGTCACCACACTCACAGTCACCACACTCACAGTTACCACACTTACAGTCATCACACTCACAGTCACCACACTCACAGTCATCACACTCACAGTCACCGCACTCACAGTCACCGCACTCACAGTCACCGCACTCACAGTCACCGCACACACAGTCACCGCACACACAGTCACCGCACTCACAGTCACCGCACTCACAGTCACCGCACACACAGTCACCGCACACACAGTCACCGCACTCGCAGTCACCGCACTCACAGTCACCGCACTCGCAGTCACCGCACTCACAGTCACCGCACTCACAGTCACCGCACACACAGTCACCGCACTCACAGTCACCGCACACACAGTCACCGCACTCGCAGTCACCGCACTCGCAGTCACCGCACTCACAGTCACCGCACTCACAGTCACCGCACTCACAGTCACCGCACTCACAGTCACCGCACTCACAGTCACCGCACTCACAGTCACCGCACTCGCAGTCACCGCACTCGCAGTCACCGCACTCACAGTCACCGCACTCGCAGTCACCGCACTCACAGTCACCGCACTCACAGTCACCGCACTCACAGTCACCGCACTCGCAGTCACCGCACTCACAGTCACCACACTCACAGTCACCGCACTCACAGTCACCACACTCACAGTCACCGCACTCGCAGTCACCGCACTCGCAGTCACCGCACTCACAGTCACCGCACTCACAGTCACCGCACTCGCAGTCACCGCACTCACAGTCACCACACTCACAGTCACCGCACTCACAGTCACCGCACTCACAGTCACCGCACTCACAGTCACCACACTCACAGTCACCACACTCACAGTCACCGCACTCACAGTCACCACACTCGCAGTCACCACACTCACAGTCACCGCACTCACAGTCACCGCACTCACAGTCACCGCACTCGCAGTCATCACACTCACAGTCACCGCACTCACAGTCACCGCACTCACAGTCACCGCACTCACAGTCACCGCACTCACAGTCACCACACTCACAGTCACCACACTCACAGTCACCACACTCACAGTCACCGCACTCACAGTCACCACACTCACAGTCACCACACTCACAGTCACCGCACTCACAGTCACCACACTCACAGTCACCGCACTCACAGTCACCACACTCACAGTCACCGCACTCACAGTCACCACACTCACAGTCACCACACTCACAGTCACCACACAGACAGTCACCGCACTCACAGTCACCACACTCACAGTCACCGCACTCACAGTCACCACACTCACAGTCACCACACTCACAGTCACCACACTCACAGTCACCGCACTCACAGTCACCACACTCACAGTCACCGCACTCACAGTCACCACACTCACAGTCACCACACTCACAGTCACCGCACTCACAGTCACCACACTCACAGTCACCGCACTCACAGTCACCACACTCACAGTCACCACACTCACAGTCACCACACAGACAGTCACCGCACTCACAGTCACCACACTCACAGTCACCGCACTCACAGTCACCACACTCACAGTCACCACACTCACAGTCACCACACTCACAGTCACCGCACTCACAGTCACCACACTCACAGTCACCGCACTCACAGTCACCACACTCACAGTCACCGCACTCACAGTCACCGCACTCGCAGTCACCGCACTCGCAGTCACCGCACTCGCAGTCACCGCACTCACAGTCACCACACTCGCAGTCACCATCACTCACAGTCACCGCACTCACAGTCACCACACTCGCAGTCACCGCACTCGCAGTCACCTCACTCACAGTCACCGCACTCACAGTCACCACACTCGCAGTCACCTCACTCACAGTCACCACACTCACAGTCACCACACTCGCAGTCACCGCACTCGCAGTCACCGCACTCGCAGTCATCACACTCACAGTCATCACACTCACAGTCACCACACTCACAGTCATCACACTCACAGTCATCACACTCACAGTCACCGCACTCACAGTCACCACACTCACAGTCATCACACTCACAGTCACCACACTCACAGTCATCACACTCACAGTCATCACACTCACAGTCATCACACTCACAGTCATCACACTCACAGTCACCGCACTCGCAGTCATCACACTCACAGTCACCGCACTCACAGTCATCACACTCACAGTCACCACACTCACAGTCACCACACTCACAGTCACCGCACTCACAGTCATCACACTCACAGTCACCACACTCACAGTCATCACACTCACAGTCACCACACTCACAGTCATCACACTCACAGTCATCACACTCACAGTCATCACACTCACAGTCATCACACTCCATCACACTCGCAGTCACCGCACTCGCAGTCACCGCACTCACAGTCACCACACTCACAGTCACCACACTCACAGTCACCACACTCACAGTCATCACACTCACAGTCATCACACTCACAGTCACCGCACTCACAGTCACCACACTCACAGTCATCACACTCACAGTCACCACACTCACAGTCATCACACTCACAGTCATCACACTCACAGTCATCACACTCACAGTCATCACACTCACAGTCATCACACTCACAGTCACCACACTCACAGTCACCACACTCGCAGTCACCGCACTCACAGTCACCGCACTCACAGTCACCGCACTCACAGTCACCACACTCGCAGTCACCACACTCGCAGTCATCACACTCACAGTCACCACACTCACAGTCATCACACTCACAGTCATCACACTCACAGTCACCACACTCACAGTCATCACACTCACAGTCATCACACTCGCAGTCACCACACTCACAGTCACCACACTCACAGTCATCACACTCACAGTCATCACACTCACAGTCACCACACTCACAGTCATCACACTCACAGTCACCACACTCACAGTCACCACACTCACAGTCACCGCACTCACAGTCACCACACTCAGTCACCACACTCACAGTCACCGCACTCACAGTCACCACACTCACAGTCATCACACTCACAGTCATCACACTCACAGTCATCACACTCACAGTCACCACACTCACAGTCACCACACTCACAGTCACCGCACTCACAGTCACCACACTCAGTCACCACACTCACAGTCACCGCACTCACAGTCACCACACTCACAGTCATCACACTCACAGTCATCACACTCACAGTCACCGCACTCGCAGTCATCACACTCACAGTCATCACACTCACAGTCATCACACTCACAGTCACCGCACTCACAGTCACCACACTCACAGTCACCACACTCACAGTCACCACACTCACAGTCATCACACTCACAGTCATCACACTCACAGTCACCACACTCACAGTCATCACACTCACAGTCATCACACTCACAGTCACCACACTCACAGTCACCACACTCACAGTCACCGCACTCACAGTCACCACACTCAGTCACCACACTCACAGTCACCGCACTCACAGTCACCGCACTCGCAGTCATCACACTCACAGTCATCACACTCACAGTCACCACACTCACAGTCACCGCACTCAGTCACCACACTCACAGTCACCGCACTCACAGTCACCACACTCAGTCACCACACTCACAGTCACCGCACTCACAGTCACCACACTCACAGTCATCACACTCACAGTCATCACACTCACAGTCACCGCACTCGCAGTCATCACACTCACAGTCATCACACTCACAGTCATCACACTCACAGTCACCGCACTCACAGTCACCACACTCACAGTCACCGCACTCACAGTCACCACACTCACAGTCACCACACTCACAGTCAGCCCTGCCTCTGTGTGTGTGTCTCACCTCCTCACCGACTCGCTACGGCAGCGCCAGCAGCCTCGGCCTTCTGCCGTCACCCCGGGGGGGGGGCAGAGACGAGAACCGAGGCGTGGGGGGGGTGGTGGTGGTGGTGGTGTCCGACGCCACGGGACCGGCCTCCTCGTGTTCCGGTTGGTGAAGTCGCGGGCCAGGCTGGATTCGTCGATGGTTTTGCGGCTGTTTTTGTTGCGGGGGGCGGCGTGCCCCCCACAGACACTAGGCCTGGCTTGCTATGCAAAGGTGCAAAAATGTTGTGGTTGGTATTAACGGCGCATGGCGAAGAGCAGGGATTGGTAAGGGGGTAAGGGAGGGGGGGTTAATGGGGTAAGGGGTTAATGGGGTAAGGGGTTAATGGGGTAATGGGGGGTGGTGGGGGGGGTGGTGGTGGTGGTGGTGGGGGGGTGGTGGGGGGGTGGTGGTGGTGGGGGGGTGGTGGGGGGTCAGGTCGGGTGAAGGCGTTAGACTAATCTGGAAGGGCCTCTCTGTGTGTGTGTGGCTTGCCGATGGGGAATGAATGGCGGGCTGGGGTGGGTGTAACGGGGTCTTAGGGAGTGGGTTAGGGGGGTTAGGGGGGGTTAGGGGGGTGGGTTAGGGGTCTTAAGGGGTGGGTTAGGGGGGTTAGGGGGGGTTAAGGGGGTGGGTTAGGGGTCTTAGGGGTCTTAGGGGTGGGTTAGGGGGGGTTAGGGGGGTGGGTTAGGGGTCTTAAGGGTGGGTTAGGGGGGTTAGGGGGGGTTAAGGGGGTGGGTTAGGGGTCTTAGGGGTGGGTTAGGGGGGTTAGGGGGGGTTAGGGGGGTGGGTTAGGGGTCTTAGGGGTGGGTTAGGGGGGTTAGGGGGGGTTAAGGGGGTGGGTTAGGGGGCTTAGGGGTGGGTTAGGGGGGGTTAAGGGGGTGGGTTAGGGGTCTTAGGGGTCTTAGGGGTGGGTTAGGGGGGTTAGGGGGGTGGGTTAGGGGTCTTAGGGGTCTTAGGGGTGGGTTAGGGGGGTTAGGGGGGGTTAAGGGGGTGGGTTAGGGGTCTTAGGGGTGGGTTAGGGGGGTTAGGGGGGGTTAAGAGGGTGGATTAGGGGTCTTAGGGGTGGGTGAGCGTGTGGGGTGAGCGTGTGGGTGAGCGTGTGGGGGGGTGAGTGCGTGGAGTGAGCGTGTGGGGGGGTGAGTGTGTGTGGAGTGAGCGTGTGTGGAGTGAGCGTGTGTGGGGGTGAGCGTGTGGGGTGAGTGTGTGTGGGGGTGAGCGTGTGTGGGGTGAGCGTGTTGGGTGAGCGTGTGGGGGGGTGAGCGTGTGGGGTGAGTGTGTGTGGGGTGAGTGCGTGTGGGGGGGTGTGTGTGGAGTGAGCGTGTGGGGGGGTGAGTGTGTGGGGTGAGAGCTTGTGGGGTGAGCGTGTGGGGTGAGCGTGTGGGGTGAGCGCGTGGGGGGGTGAGCGTGTGGGGTGAGCGTGTGTGGGGTGAGTGTGTGGGGTGAGCGTGTGGGGTGAGTGTGTGGGGTGAGCGCGTGTGGGCTGAGTGTGGGGTGAGCGTGTGGGGGGGGGTGAGCGCGTGGGGGGCGCGTGTGTGGGGTGAGTGCGTGTGGGGGGGTGAGCGTGTGGGGTGAGCGTGTGGGGGGGGTGAGCGTGTGTGGTGAGTGTGTGTGGTGAGCGAGTGGGTGAGGGGTGAGTGGTGAGTGTGTGTGGGGTGAGCGTGTGGGGTGAGCGTGTGGGGTGAGCGTGTGGGGTGAGCGTGTGTGGGGTGAGCGTGTGGGGTGAGCGTGTGTGGTGAGCGTGTGGGGTGAGCGTGTGTGGGGTGAGTGTGTGGGGTGAGCGTGTGGGGTGAGTGTGTGGGGTGAGCGTGTGGGGTGAGCGTGTGGGGTGAGTGTGTGGGGTGAGCGCGTGTGGGGTGAGTGTGGGGTGAGCGTGTGGGGGGGGTGAGCGCGTGGGGTGAGCGTGTGTGGGGTGAGCGTGTGGGGTGAGTGCGTGTGGGGGGGTGAGTGTGTGGGGTGAGCGTGTGGGGTGAGTGAGTGTGTGGGGTGAGAGTGTGTGGGGTGAGAGTGTGTGGGGTGAGTGTGTGTGGGGTGAGTGTGTGGCGTGTGTGGGGGGAGCGTGTGGGGTGAGCGTGTGGGGGGGTGAGCGTGTGGGGTGAGCGCGTGGGGTGAGCGCGTGGGGTGAGCGCGTGGGGTGAGCGTGTGGGGTGAGTAAGTGGGGTGAGCGTGTGGGGGGGTGAGCGTGTGGGGTGAGCGCAAAGAGGATGGATGGATATGGGGTGAGTCGGGGGAGATTCGGGCTGCCCTCACGTGGGTGGGTGGGGGGGGAGACACCGGGCCCCCCTTGAGACACGGGCCCCCCTAAGATGGGTAGGAGAGAGACACGGGCCCCCCTAAGATGAGTAGGAGAGAGACACGGGCCCCCCCTTAAGACACGGGCCCCCCTAAGATGGGTAGGAGAGAGACACGGGCCCCCCTAAGATGGGTAGGAGACACGGGGCCCCCCTAAGATGGGTAGGAGAGAGACACGGGCCCCCCTAAGATGGGTAGGAGAGATACACGGGCCCCCCTAAGATGGGTAGGAGAGAGACACGCCCCCCCCCCCCCAAGATGGGTAGGAGAGAGACACGGGCCCCCCTAAGATGGGTAGGAGAGACACGGGCCCCCCCTTAAGACACGGGCCCCCCTAAGATGGGTAGGAGAGAGACACGGGCCCCCCCTTAAGACACGGGCCCCCCTAAGATGGGTAGGAGAGAGACACGGGCCCCCCCCTTAAGACACGGGCCCCCCTAAGATGGGTAGGAGAGAGACACGGGCCCCCCTAAGATGGGTAGGAGAGAGACACGGGCCCCCCTAAGATGGGTATTAAAGAGACACGGCCCCCCTGAGGAGACCCCGGGGTGAGACACGTGAGACGCGGGCTCCCCCCTCAGGACACACGGGGGCCCCCCCCCCTCCCCACCTGGGGAGGAGACACAAACCCCGAGAGATGGACAATCACCTCACGTCCACCACCACGTCCACCACCTTCAATCGCTCTGTGCCCGAGGTCCGCCCATGCCTCGGCGCAGACAAAACGCGACGTTTCGCTCCTGCTGCCTAGACGATGCAAACCTCATTCAGCCTCCAGCGGTGGACAACGCTCCACCACCCTCACTAGTCGACCCCCCCCCCTCTCACGGGGAAGAGGGGGTTTGCCCACGAAGCTGTGGGCAGCGATGGAGCAGCAGCAGTAGTAGCAGGAGCAGCAGTAGCAGCAGCGGCGGTGGTCGCGGCGGCAATGGGCAGCTGTGGGCAGCAGCAACGGCACCGAAACACGGACCCACTCTGCGCGCACGCCGATTGGTCCAGCCGCGAACCACGTGGGGGGGGGGGCGTGCGTCGACCAATCGGTGGGCGAGCTCGCGCGCTGCCGTTGGTTAAGTGTCTGCGACGGGGGGAGAAGGTGGGGGGGGTGAGGGTGGGGGCTTCCGGTTAGGGGGGGGCGTGCGTCGACCAATCGGTGGGCGAGCTCGCGCGCTGCCGTTGGTTAAGTGTCTGCGACGGGGGGAGAAGGTGGGGGGGGTGGAGGGGGTGAGGGTGGGGGCTTCCGGTTAGGGGGGGGGGCGTGCGTCGACCAATCGGTGGGCGAGCTCGCGCTGCCGTCGGTTAAATGTCTGCGACGGGGGGGTGAGGGTGGGGGCTTCCGGTTAGGGGGGGGGTGAAGTGGAGTGGCTTCCGGTGGGGGGGGGGCGAAGGGGTTTGGTGGTGATCACGTGAGACGCGTCTCAACCAATCGTTGATCGCGGTTGCTGTTGGCCCCGCCCTCCTTTACCCCCCCCCCTCCCGCGTGTGGGGTGGGGGGGGCTGGTGGAGACACGGCCGGTGACGTCACCCGCGATGACGTCATCCGTCGCGCGAGGTGCCCCGGGGTCACGTGACGGCTGTGACCACCCCCCCCCCCCCGTTTCCTCCATTGTCTATGACGTCACCGCACGCCTCTTGTGCCAGGATAGGTGCACCTAGCCTGGCACTGCCCGGTAGATTTGAATAAGGACTAACATTAATTCTAGACTTGAAGCTTTCGTGACTGCAAGGAATCATATTCTTAGGTGTTTTCGGTAAAGTCACGTAGGTAAAACATCAAAATTAATAAAAATAATAAAATAAAATTATCTTTATTAAAAATAATAAAATAAAATGATCTTTATTTTTTTTTATTAATTTTGATCTTTATTTTATTTTATAATTTTTATTAATTTTGATGTTTTACCTACGTGACTTTACCAAAAACACCTAAGAATAAGGACTAACAATTACAATTTTAATGAAACATTGCATTTAAAGAAGCAGATTTGTAGAAATTATATTACATGGCTCACTCAGCCACTGTCGTAGACATAGTCTACAAAAGATTCATTTTTAAATCCTTTATATTAAGTTCACTTGCTTGCTTGCTTAGGACCGTGCAAATCTTTCGGTCGTTTTTTAACCCACTTCCCGCGATCCAATCGAGCTGACATTTTGCACACAGACTCGTTGTGCGAGACAATTAATGTTCGTGAAAAAAAATTCCAAAATGTTACACTGTTTAGGGAAAACAATTTAAATATTTAATTACCAATTGCTTAATACTGGCAGACAATCATCTGACCCATAGGTGGCAGCCATCTCAAGCCAGAGGACGAGAGGACTCTAGCCGCCACGCATATAAAGGATTTATAGTGAAAAACTTTGTTTTTACGGGTTATACTTGTTTAATCCTTTATATTAAGTTCACTTGCTTGCTTGCTTATGACCGTGCAAATCTTTCGGTCGTTTTTTAACCCACTTCCCGTGATCCAATCGAGCTCACAGTTTGCACACAGACTCGTTGTGCGTGACAATGCATTTTCGTGAAAAAATAATTCCAAAATGTTACACTTTTTAAGACAAAAATATTATATTTAATTACCAATTGCTTAATGGTGCAATGCAATCATCTGACCAATAGGTGGCAGCCATCTCAAGCCAGAGGACGAGAGGACTCTAGCCGCCACGCATATAAAGGATTTATAGTGAAAAACTTTGTTTTTACGGGTTATACTTGATTCTTGATTTCACTGTCGCAAACTGGTCAACACGTAATCAAAATCTGTTTTTTCCAATGTTTTTCTTTCAATGCTAAGAAGAACAAGATCGCCGAGACGATCTTGTCCCATTGAAGCACGCAAATGCGACAAAATAAGATTAAATTTGCCGAACGACCGCTCACAGCTTGCAATTTTAAACTGCTATTGTTAATAAAATTAGCAGTGAAATTCGCAATTTCGGAAATATGTCGTCTCCATAAAACACAATAAAACCAATAAGTTCTAGATTTGAAGCTTTCGTGACTGCAAGGATTCATACTCTTAGGTTTTTTCGGTAAAGTCACGTAGGTAAAAAAATTAAATTAATAAAAGTAAAATAAAAAAAATTAAAAAATTCACGACGTTTCGGAAGCTTGTGAAGCTTGTGTTACTTCCGAAACGTCGTGAATTTTTTAATTTGTTTTATTTTACTTTTATTGATTTAAATTTGTTACCTATGTGACTTTACCGAAAAAACCTAAGAGTATAAAACCAAGAAGATCTAAAGGAGTTTCTGGTAGAACTTAATTCCGGTTACTGAGCAGCATTTTGCAATCTCCAATTTCTGTGAAAAGTTCGTGGCCATTGATATCGGTGTCATAGAAATTTCCAAAATCTGTGCAATTTCGACGAATTGCATCGACATCTGTGTCGGATAGAAGAGTTTTGACGTCCAGCAGAAATCAAAATTTCGTGTTCAGGTCTTTTAGTCATAAAAACCGTGTTGGCATCTCCTGTTGAAGTCGATAAAATACGCTCTTCATAACGCGCACAATTTCTTCTTCTGCTGAAAGTCCTGCATCTCTTGCCAGTTCTCCTGGCATCTTCCGACGTCGCCTAATTCTTCTGTCCACATCGATCCCCCAGACTGTGCATCTTGTTTTGGCGTTTTCTACAGCAACTTGGCTCAAATCATCACGAAGCTTGACAAATTCATGTTCCAAAGATTCAAGATCAGTTGCTGCTTCCTTGAAATTCATAGTAGGATCCTGTAAGCGCTTCTGAACACGATCCATTTTTCCAAGAATGACATTCCAGAAATGTAATAAAACTATGAAGTTAAAATTTAATACGCATGCCTGTAACTGTTCTGCATCACTTCTGGTTTCAGGCGTCATAGTTACGTCCTCCGATAATACTGGTAGGAACGAAGTGAACCAGCCTACAATAGATTATATCGTCCGTCCGTCCGATGTCCGGTTAGGTGTAACAACATCGCCCCGTACTGCAAACACTTGGCAGGACCCTACAAAAACCTTTAGACTCAGTGAGGCTTTCCTGGCTAAACAAGTGTAACATTCCCTTATTAGTTTTTAATTAAAACATTTAAATTAAAAATTAACTCACAGCGGCCTAAAGCCTACAGCTAGGCCTAAAGCCTAGAACTAGGCCTCAAACTCTCCCTTCGTATCGTACCCCCGCCATTTCATTTTATTATAGCCATTCATTTGTTCGTTCCTACCAGCCCAACCCGCAGGGACCTGTTTTGTCTCGCAGCCCTACTAGTTCATCCAGTCCTTCATAGATAGCTTTAACAGCTTCTGATCGTGCAACTCCAGCGTGTTTCAGGCCGTCGTAGTTTCCGCCACCAAAAAACAGGCCAGTGACTAAGGCTGAAAGACTGCGCCTGTCTGTTGTTTGGGACGTTCTTCCATGTAAGTTCTTAATAGGCGCGCGTACCAAAATGTAATTACATGACATGTAGGCTGTGTGTGGCGGGATATATTAACGTTTAGCTTGAGGTGTAGATTTGTGCAGTAGTTGCAGGCTGCCGCGCCCGCTGCAATAAGTTATAATGTGACGTTGTACGCAGTGGCGGCTCCTGCAAAATCTCTCAGGGGGAGCAAATGTCTGGATGATTGATAAGGATAAGGTCCACCCATGCAATGGATAAATTAACAGCTTAAGCATGTAAAGGCAACTTCACTTCTTTAATATTAATGAAAAATAAAGTGACTCTTACAATACATCTTGTTTGTTTCTATACTCACTATTAAAACAAACCACTCAAGTTTATTTTATTAAAGATTCCACTAGGTGGCCACAAATTATATTGTTGGATGAAACGTGCTTACGTATGATGACGCAAGCACGTATGATGACGTAAGCACGTTAGGGCGAGCCCTCCCGGAAGCCATAGAGAATGCATTGCAGCGCCCCCCGGTCGAAAAAAAACATCTTTGAATGTAAGTCTATGGGGCCACTCGGGGCGATTCTCAGCCGGAGTGAAATCGCCCAAAAGGAGGCGGTACTCCACAGAACGTGACATGACGCTGATTGGACTATATCCAGAGGATGCACAGTGACGGCTAGCGTAGCTCTGTGGTTGAATGACATTGGTGGTGCGTCGCCCAATCGCCCTAATGAAGAAACCGCCCCTGGTTGTAAGCCTCATTTTGGCGCCCCTTAACCTTGGCGCCCGAGGACACGTGTACCTCCTGCCCCCCCCTAGCTACGCCTCTGCCTCAAGTACACCTAGCCTGGCACTGCCGGGTAGCCTCAAGTGCACCTAGCCTGGCACCGCCCAGTAGCATCAAGTGTACCTAGCCTGGCACTGCCCAGTGCTGATGTTGTTGGTGTTTGCAGTGTTAGGCTGCTGCTATATAGTTCGCCGTGATAAGCCAATAAAATAAAGAAAAAAATTGATTTTGTATTGGGTCCATGTGGGTCTCTATGAGTGTGGGTCTCTGTGGGTCTCTATGAGTGTGGGTCTCTGTGGGTCTCTATGGGTATGGGTCTCTGTGGGTCTCTATGAGTGTGGGTCTCTGTGGGTCTCTATGAGTGTGGGTCTCTGTGGGTCTCTATGAGTGTGGGTCTCTGTGGGTCTCTATGAGTTTAGGTCTCTGTGGGTCTCTGTATGGGTTTCTGTGGGTCTCTATGAGTATGGGTCACTGTGGGTCTCTATGAGTATGGGTCTCTGTGGGTCTCTGAGTATGGGTCTCTGTGGGTCTCTATGAGTGTGGGTCCATGTGGGTCTCTATGAGTGTGGGTCCATGTGGGTCTCTATGAGTGTGGGTCTCTGTGGGTCTCTATGAGTGTGGGTCTCTGTGGGTCTCTATGAGTGTGGGTCTCTGTGGGTCTCTGTGAGTGTGGGTCTCTGTGGGTCTCTATGAGTGTGGGTCCATGTGGGTCTCTATGAGTGTGGGTCTCTCTGAATAACACTCTCTGTAGGTCTGTATGGGTATGGGTCTCTGTGGGTCTCTATGAGTGTGGGTCTCTATGAGTATGGGTCTCTGTGAGTCTCTATTAGTAAGGGTCTCTATGAGAATGGGTATCTGTGGGTCTCTATGAGAATGGGTCTCTGTGGGTCTCTATGAGTGTGAGTCTCTATGAGTATGGGTCTCTGTGGGTCTCTATGAGAATGGGTCTCTGCGAGTGTGGGTCTCCGTGGGTCTCTGAGTATGGGTTTCAGTGGGTCTCTATGAGTGTGGGTCTCTGTGGGTCTCTATGAGTGTGGGTCTCTGTGGGTCTCTATGAGTGTGGGTCTCTGTGGGTCTCTATGAGTGTGAGTCTCTATGAGTATGGGTCTCTGTGGGTCTCTATGAGAATGGGTCTCTGCGAGTGTGGGTCTCTGAGTATAGGTCTCTGTGGGTCTCTATGAGAATGTGTCTCTGCGAGTCTGTAGAAACACGCGTTAAGAGTATTCGGCTGCTGCTATCAATGTCCACGTGATGACGACAAGCCACTTCGTTGATCTACCGCTCATGATGGCCAGGGTTGGTTTCTGAAAAAAAAAACATCTACACATCAGCTCAGTCGGTGCCTTACCTGGTCAAATTAAAACTGTAGTAGATACTTTCACAAATCACTCCCCCAACCCACCCACACACACGCCACGAAGCACACAGCGCGAAGCAAGCGACACGAACAGACTTCCTCAGACCGTCTCAGTGGGAACTCTTTTAATGCGCGAGGCCACGCCAACGGCAATTCGCGAGGATTTCGACAATTCCTCCAGAAAAAAAGAAAACTCGTCCAAACAGAAAAAAACAACCCAGAAAAATCATCTCTCAACAACGGCAAAGACCCCTCCATCGCCCCCTCCCCCCCTCCTCCTCCCATTGACGTCTCCCCTCGGGCCCCGGACTCCGGGCACGGGGTCACGGGGTCACGGGCCCGGGGTCACGGACTCGAGACCCGGGGTCAGACTCGGGTCACGGGGTCACAGACTCCGGGCCACAGGGTCATAGACTCGGGGTCAAGGACTCGAGACCCGGGGTCAGACTCGGGTCACGGGGTCACAGACTCCGGGCCACAGGGTCATAGACTCGGGGTCAAGGACTCGAGACCCGGGGTCAGACTCGGGTCACGGGGTCACAGACTCCGGGCCACAGGATCATAGACTCGGGGTCAAGGACTCGAGACCCGGGGTCACGGGCCCGGGGTCTGACTCTGTGTGGCAGGGGGTGGGGGCGGGGGGAAGGCCCTGGGGGCTCTGCGATGTCTAGGGCCCCCCGGGATTGAGGCAGCAGGGGCCCAGGGCAACGCACACGGCACACACACACACACAGGACGGCCCCCGCCACCTTTCAAGCTACAAAAAAACCAACGATGCCGTCTTAATCGTGCAAAGAAGAAGATTTAAGAGGAGGTGGAGGAGGAGGAATACCGCTGACAGGGCCACAAGTGGGCCGAGAGCTGCACGTGGCGATGGTTCTTATTGTTGTGATTTATTACACTGGTCAACACACCTTTGTTAATCCTTTATATTAAGTTCGCTTGCTTGCTTGCTTACGACCGTGCAAATATTTCGGTCGTTTTTTAACCCACTTCCCGTGATCCAATCGAGCTGACATTTTGCATACAGACTCTTTTGGAAAATTTTTTTTCACAAAAATTAATTGTCACGCACAACGAGTCTGTGTGCAAAATGTCAGCTCGATTGGATCACGGGAAGTGGGTTAAAAAACGACCGAAAGATTTGCACGGTCGTAAGCAAGCAAGCAAGCACGCAAGCACGCAAGCAAGCAAGCGAACTTAATATAAAGGATTTAAAAATGATACTTGATAGAGCAAATCTTGAGATCAGATTTGGAATCGGCACCCTGAAAATTAGTCTAAAACAGCTGCAAAAGTCCAGGCCAGAAAAAAATGAATTTTGTTTGTTGTTGACCAGTGTTGTTATTGTAGTTAGGAGACTCATTTCTTTACGACTGCTTTGTTGTGTTAAGTTTTCCTTCTCTCCCCCCCCTCTCCCCCGTGCCTCCAATGAGCGCGGTTTGCTACATAGTACGGTGCGAAAGAAGTTAATCGGACATACAAAAGGGGCCGTCCATAAATGACGTCACGCGATTTTGGACGATTTTTGACCACCCCCCCCCCCCCCTTCGTCACAAAAAGTCAGACCCCCCCCCCCTCAAATATGATGTCAAAGCTCTGCCCCCCCTCCCCCCAAAAAATATATAAAACATGCTTCAAATCGCTTTAAAATATTGCCATTGTTGTGCGCTGCACTCTGACGTTGTAGGAGAAAACATTTATTACAAAGTCTATTTAAATTTCGATTTAAAGCTTTCGTGACTGCAGGGATTCATCTTCTTGGTTCTTTCGGTAAAGTCACGTAGAAGGGAAGTAATAAAATAATAAAAATAAAACATAATAAAATAAAATAAAACATAATAAAATAAAATAATTATTTTATTACTTCCCTTCTACGTGACTTTACCGAAAGAACCAAGAAGATGAAAAGTCTATTTAATTAAGTAGAACGTGTTGTCTATATTTATTTAAAGTTGCGCATTTTGATGTGACGTCAGATTTCCCAAACTCCCCCCCCCCTCTCGATTTAAAGCTTTCGTGACTGCAGGGATTCATCTTTTTGGTTCTTTCAGTAAAGTCATGTAGAATGGAAATAATAAATTAATACAAATTTAACATTATAAAATAACATAAAATATTTATTTTTATTTTTATTATTTCCATTCTACGTGACTTACCGAAAGAACCAAGAAGACCCCCCCCTCGTCACACATCGTCACAAATGTCTGACCGCCCCCCCCCCCAGATGCGTGACGTCATTTATGGACGGCCCCAAAGACAAAGTTCCCCCCCAGCCCCGTATAGCTTTAACAGGCTGTTGAGCAAAGTGCTGTTAGCGAGCGCCTATGAAAGGCCGGCAATGTGGCACAAGAGGGGGTGGGTGGGTCAACACGACACCCGCAGGGCCGCCTTTGTCTCCCCCAGTGGCGCACCAGGTACTCAGTTGAGGCTGAGTCGACCTAGGGGAGGCCCAGGACCGGTGAAGATGATCGTCACCGGCGTTGGCCGTGAGCGGGAATCGAACCCGGGTCACCGGATCCGTAGCGCTCACCACTGACACCACCGCTCCCCACAGACACATACAGACAAAGATCCCCCGTGTAGCCTTAACAGACTGTCGGGGCAAGTGCTGTTAGCGAGTAGCACCTATGAACGCCGGCACGGCACACGAGTGGATGGGTGGCCAACACTATGCCCGGCCGCCTTTGTCTCCCCAGTGGCGATGTTTACACAACGCACCAGGTACTAATTTTGAGACTGAGTCGACCTAGGGGAGGCCCAGGACCGGTTCAGACAATCGTCACTGGTGTTGGCCGTGATTGGAAATCGAACTTGGGCCGCCGGGTTCGTAGCGTAGCGCTAACCGCTACACTACCACACACATTTACAACAACAACCGCCATTCGCCACTAAGTGGCGGTGACGTCACCACGACGCTTGTGCCAGGCTAGGTGCACGTTGAGGCGACTGCCTCCAACTGCCCAGTAGCAGCGTCCTTCACGAGCCTCCTCCACAGAGGCCGATCTTGACTCCGCTGGTACTGGTCATCGGCAAGTCCACTCAGCTCCACGTCCTCCTGTACCACATCACTCCATCTCTTCTCCAGCCCGTGCCGCGCCCGTCTAGCCCCCTCGATCCGGCCGAACAAAAGCTGTTTAGGCATGCGGTGGCTGGGCATGCGGGCTACATGACCCAGCCAACGCAGCCTTGCCTGCCGGAGGAGCTCACCAATGGGACTTTGTCCACATATACACACACACATAGATACACAAAGATCCCCCGTATAGCCTTAACAGACTGTAGGGGCAAGTGCTGTTAGCGAGCACCTATGAAGGCCAGAACGGTACACGAGGGGGTGGGTGGCCAGCACCACGCCCGACCGCCTTTGTCTCCCTAGTGGCGATGTTTACACACCTCACCAGGTACTCATTTGAGGCTGAGTCGACCTAGGGGAGGCCTGGGAACGGTTCAAATAATCGCCACTGGTGTTGGCCGTGAGCGGGAATCGAACTCGTGTCGCCGGATTCGTAGCGCTAACCACTAACACCACCGCTCCCCACAGACACATACAGACAAAGATCCCCATACACACATGCACACACACACGCGCACACACACACATACACACACGTACACACACGTACACACACACGTACACACACACGTACACATACACGCACACACACACACGCGCACACACACATACACACGCACACATACACACACACATACACACACACATACACACACACATACACACACACATACACACACACATACACACACACACACACATACACACACACGTACACACACACATACACACACATACACACACACATACGCACACATACACGCACACATACACGCACACATACACACACACACACGTGCACGCGCACACACAACTGGCCAACCCCGGCAACTTAATGTCCCGTGGGGGTGGGGGGGGGGCGTGCGGATTGCCCACGATGACCGCCTCAACAAGACGATGTCCATGTGGGGCAGGAAGGGAGCACGGCGGCAGGGAGGCCCCCTGCATGGCGGGGCCCAGGGCAGACACGTGGCCCCTGGCTCCCACGTGGTGCGGGGGTGGCGGCCGGGTGAGTGGAGGGACGGAGGGGGGGGGAGCTGAGAGAGGTGAAGGTCCAGGGTGAGTGGCTAGGAGATGTTGACTACCTCGCCTGGTGTGCAGGAGGTCGTGGGTTCGATCCCCGACCCTGACGCCTGCTGCTGTGTATTTGGAGTTTGCGTGTCTTTCTCATCATCACAGTGGCTAGGAGATGTTGACTACCCCGCCTGGTCTACAGGAGGTCGTGGGTTCGATCCCAACCCTGACGATGACTGCTGCTGCTGTATATTTGGAGTTTGCGTGTCTCTCTCTCTCATCATCATCACGGTGGCTAGGAAATGTTGACTACCTCGCCTGGTGTACAGAAGGTCGTGGGTTCGATCCCGACCCTGACGATGCCTGCTGCTGCTGTATATTTGGAGTTTGCGTGTCTCTCTCTCTCATCATCATCATCACGGTGGCTAGGAGATGTTAACTACCTCGCCTGGTCTACAGGAGGTCTGTGTTTCTCTCTCTCTCATCATCATCACAGTGGCTAGATGTCGACTACCTCGCCTGGTGTACAGGAGGTCGTGGGTTCGATCCTGACCCTGACGATGCCTGCTGCTGCTGTATATCTGGAGTCTGCGTGTCTCTCTCTCTCTCTCATCATCATCACGGTGGCTAGGAGATGTCAACTACCTCGCCTGGTCTACAGGAGGGTGAAGAGGGTGGGGCTGGGTGGGGAGGGTGGGGAGGGGCTGGGTAGTGGGTGGGAGGGGTGGGGCTGGGTGGGGTGGGGCTGGTCACCCCGTGGTGCCCTTATAAAACTCAACATTTAACCTACTCACGCCGGCTTGTGCCCGCCCTCTCACAGTCGGGCATATTTGCGGGAATACACCACGCCGCCGTTGACCCTGCAGGCCATTGACCGAGCAACCCAACGTGTTCCTACCAGCTCCCTCCGCAGGACAATGTGTTTACATGTGCCGAGGGTGTAAGGTAAGAGAGGGCGCGCGCGGGTTGTGTGTGAAGGGTGGAACGGAGGGTCGGTGTACAGGGTGAGCGAGTTCACGTTGGTTTTGTGTCACCGGGTGAGAAGTCACGAGACCAGGAGTCGGCGTTTTGACCTGGGTCGTGAGTCCGCTGCCAGCCGTAGGGGATGATTGCCGCTGTGTGGGCTCGCCTAGGGGCACCCCTAGTGGCAGCTGTCTCCGTGCGTGAGTACGCTGCCATTAGTGGCGGGTGTGAGCGTGGCGGGGGTGTAGCGTGGTGGGTGGAGCGTGACGGGTGGAGTGTGCGGGTGGAGCGTGGTGGGTGGAGCGTGGTGGGTGGAGCATAGTGGGTGTGTGAGCGACAGGATCACATCCGGTTGAGCGTCTGGAAGATGCGTGAGATCTGCAGCATGACCGGCCCGGTCTCCGGGTCGTTCATCCACTGGGCGCTGTTCACCGGGTTCTCCAGCATGTCCTCGAACGCTGCACCCACGGCACAACGCACAGGCCAAACCCCGGGGTGAGCCCTTGCCACGGAACTCTGTTGGGGGCGAGTGCTGTTAGCGAGTAGCTGCAGAAGCAGCAGCGCCTATGAAGGCCGGCACAGTGGCACACGAGGGGGTGGGTGGGTGGCCAGCACCACAAAGACAAAGATCCCCCGTGTAGCCTCAACAGACTGTAGGGGCAAGAGCTGTTAGCGAGTAGCAGCGCATATGAAGGCCGGCACAATGGCACACGAGGGGGTGGGTGGGTGGCCAGAATCACAAAGACAAAGATCCCCCGTGTAGCCTCATCAGACTGTGCGAGGGCAAGTGCTGTTAGTGGCACACGAGGGGGTGGGTGGGTGGCCAGCACCACAAAGACAAAGATCCCCCGTGTAGCCTCAACAGACTGTAGGGGCAAGAGCTGTTAGCGAGTAGCAGCGCATATGAAGGCCGGCACAATGGCACACGAGGGGGTGGGTGGGTGGCCAGAATCACAAAGACAAAGATCCCCCGTGTAGCCTCATCAGACTGTGCGAGGGCAAGTGCTGTTAGTGGCACACGAGGGGGTGGGTGGGTGGCCAGCACCACAAAGACAAAGATCCCCCGTGTAGCCTCAACAGACTGTAGGGGCAAGAGCTGTTAGCGAGTAGCAGCGCATATGAAGGCCGGCACAATGGCACACGAGGGGGTGGGTGGGTGGCCAGCACCACAAAGACAAAGATCCCCCGTGTAGCCTCATCAGACTGTGCGGGGGCAAGTGCTGTTAGTGGCACACGAGGGGGTGGGTGGGTGGCCAGCACCACAAAGACAAAGATCCCCCGTGTAGCCTCATCAGACTGTGCGAGGGCAAGTGCTGTTAGTGGCACACGAGGGGGTGGGTGGGTGGCCAGCACCACAAAGACAAAGATCCCCCGTGTAGCCTCAACAGACTGTAGGGGCAAGAGCTGTTAGCGAGGAGCAGCGCATATGAAGGCCGGCACAATGGCACACGAGGGGGTGGGTGGGTGGCCAGCACCACAAAGACAAAGATCCCCCGTGTAGCCTCAACAGGCTGTAGGGGCAAGTGCTGTTAGCGAGGAGCAGCGCCTATGAAGTCCGGCACAGCGGCACACGAGGGGGTGGGCGGCCAGCACCACCCAACGCACCCAACGCACGCCCGGCCGGAAGATGCAGGAGATGCAGGGAGATGCAGGGAGATGCAGGGAGATGCAGGGAGGTGCAGGGAGGTGCAGGGAGGTGCAGGGAGATGCAGGGAGGTGCAGGGAGATGCAGGGAGGTGCAGGGAGATGCAGGGAGATGCAGGGAGATGCAGGGAGGTGCAGGGAGATGCAGGGAGATGCAGGGAGATGCAGGGAGGTGCAGGGAGATGCAGGGAGATGCAGGGAGATGCAGGGAGATGCAGGGAGGTGCAGGGAGATGCAGGGAGATGCAGGGAGATGCAGGGAGATGCAGGGAGGTGCAGGGAGATGCAGGGAGATGCAGGGAGATGCAGGGAGGTGCAGGGAGGTGCAGGGAGATGCAGGGAGATGCAGGGAGGTGCAGGGAGATGCAGGGAGATGCAGGGAGATGCAGGGAGGTGCAGGGAGATGCAGGGAGATGCAGGGAGATGCAGGGAGATGCAGGGAGATGCAGGGAGATGCAGGGAGGTGCAGGAAGATGCAGGGAGATGCAGGAGATGCAGGGAGGTGCAGGGAGATGCAGGAAGATGCAGGGAGATGCAGGGAGATGCAGGAAGATGCAGGGAGATGCAGGAAGATGCAGGGAGATGCAGGAAGATGCAGGGAGGTGCAGGGAGGTGCAGGGAGATGCAGGAAGATGCAGGGAGATGCAGGGAGGTGCAGGGAGATGCAGGAAGATGCAGGAAGATGCAGGGAGGTGCAGGGAGATGCAGGAAGATGCAGGGAGATGCAGGGAGGTGCAGGGAGATGCAGGAAGATGCAGGGAGATGCAGGGAGGTGCAGGGAGGTGCAGGGAAATGCAGGGAGATGCAGGGAGATGCAGGGAGATGCAGGGAGATGCAGGGAGATGCAGGGAGATGCAGGGAGATGCAGGGAGATGCAGGGAGGTGCAGGAGATGCAGGGAGATGCAGGGAGGTGCAGGAGATGCAGGAAGGTGCAGGGAGGTGCAGGGAGGTGCAGGGAGGTGCAGGGAGATGCAGGAAGGTGCAGGGAGGTGCAGGAAGGTGCAGGGAGATGCAGGGAGGTGCAGGGAGATGCAGGAAGGTGCAGGGAGGTGCAGGAAGGTGCAGGGAGATGCAGGAAGGTGCAGGAAGGTGCAGGGAGGTGCAGGGAGGTGCAGGGAGGTGCAGGGAGATGCAGGGAGGTGCAGGGAGCTGCAGGGAGGTGCAGGAAGGTGCAGGGAGGTAGCTGCAGGGAGGTGCAGGGAGATGCAGGGAGGTGCAGGGAGGTAGCTGCAGGGAGGTGCAGGGAGGTAGCTGCAGGGAGCTGCAGGGAGCTGCAGGGAGGTGCAGGGAGGTAGCTGCAGGGAGGTGCAGGAAGGTGCAGGGAGGTAGCTGCAGGGAGCTGCAGGGAGATGCAGGGAGGTGCAGGGAGGTAGCTGCAGGGAGGTGCAGGGAGGTAGCTGCAGGGAGCTGCAGGGAGCTGCAGGGAGGTGCAGGGAGGTAGCTGCAGGGAGGTGCAGGGAGCTGCAGGGAGGTGCAGGGAGGTAGCTGCAGGGAGGTGCAGGGAGGTAGCTGCAGGGAGGTGCAGGGAGGTAGCTGCAGGGAGCTGCAGGGAGATGCAGGGAGGTGCAGGGAGGTAGCTGCAGGGAGATGCAGGGAGGTGCAGGGAGGTAGCTGCAGGGAGGTGCAGGGAGGTAGGTGCAGGGAGGTAGCTGCAGGGAGGTGCAGTGTCCGTACCGAGCAGGTTCTTGGGCCTGGTGAGTCCCAGCTGCACCACGGGGTTCTCCAGGATGGCCTGGAGCAGCGGGCTGCCGGGGGACAAGCCTCCCTCCCCGCCCTCGGAGGCGGCGCCAGCGCGCTCCCCCAGCAGCCACTCGCACTGCGCACACACACGCACACAGTGCACACACAGCACTCACACACAGCACACACACAGCACGCACACACAGCGCACACACAGCGCACACAGCGCACAGCACACACAGCGCACACAGCGCACACACACACGCACACAGTGTGCAGCACACACACACAGCGCACACACACAGTGTGCAGCACGCACACACACAGCACAGTCAACCAGGCAGCCACTCACACAACCCACATACACACAACACACACACAGCACAAACACCCCACAGACACACACACACCACACACTCCACAGACACACACACGCCACAGACACACACACACCCCACAGACACACACACCACACACAGACACACACCACACCCCACAGACACACACACACCACACACACACCACACACACCCCACACCACACACCACGCACACATCACCCCCCACACACACCACAAACACCACGCACACAGCACACACCCCACACAGCACACACCCCACACACGCACACCCCACACACGCACACCCCACACACGCACACCCCACACCACACACACCCCACACAGCACACACCCCACAGACACACACACATACACACCACACACCCCACAGACACACACACCCCATACACACCACGCACACACCACACACACCCCACAGACAGACACACACCACACCCCACAGACACCCCCACAGACACACACACACCACACACACACACCACGCACACATCACGCACACCACACAGACACACCACACACACACCACACACACCCCACACACACAGCACACACCCCACACAGCACACACACCACACTCCCCACAGACACACACACATCACACACCACACACACACACAGCACACACACACACACCCCACATACACCACACACACCACGCACACATCACACACCACACACACCACGCACACATCACACCCCACACACACCACACACACACAGCACACACCCCACAGACACACACACACCACACACACACCCCACAGACAGACACACACACACCACACACACACACCCCACACAGCACACACCCCACACAGCACACACCCCACCGACACACACACACCACAGACACACACACCACACACACCACGCACACATCACACCCCACACACACCACGCACACATCACACCCCACACACCCCACAGACACACACTCACCACACACAGACACACAGACACACCCCACAGACACACACACACCACACACACCACGCACACATCACACCCCACACACACCACACACACCACACACACACACACACACCCCACAGACACACACTCACCACACACAGACACACCCCACAGACACACACACACACCACACACACACACCACACGCACACACACACCCCACACACCACAACCCCAGAGACACACACACCACACACACCCCACACCACACACCCCACACACACCCCACACCACACACCCCACACAGCACACACCCCACACACACACCCCACACAGCCCCCACACACAGCACACACCCCACACAGCACTCACCCACACACACACACCCCACACACCCCACACACACACACACCCCACACACCACACCCCACAGACACACATCACACCTCACACACACACCACACACACTCACTCACACACACACACCACACACACACACTCACTCACTCACCACACCCCACACACCACACACACCACACACACCCCACACACACACACCCCACACACACCCCACACACACACACACACCCCACACAGCACTCACCCCACAGACACACCACACACCACACACACCCCACACACACACCCACACAGCACTCACCCCACACACACACCTCACACACAGCACACACCACACACACACACACACCCCACACACACACACAGCACACACACACCCCACACATACACACCCCACACACACCCCACACACACACACACCCCACACACACACCCCACACACACACACACCCCACACACACACACCCCACACACACACACACCCCACACACACACCCCACACACACACACACACCCCCCACACACACACACAGCACACACCCCACACACACACCAGACACACACACCTCACACACACACCCCACACACACACCAGACACACACACACACCCCACACACACACCAGACACACACACACACACCCCACACAGCACTCACCCCACAGACACACACACACCCCACACACACACCAGACACACACACCTCACACACACACCCCACACACACACCTCACACACACACACACACCCCACACAGCACTCACCCCACAGACACACCACACACACCCCACACACACACCCCTCACAGCACTCACCCCACACACACACACACCCCACACACACACCTCACACACAGCACACACCCCACACACACACCTCACACACACCCCACACACACACCCCACACACACACACCCCACACAGCAGCAGCAGCAGCACTCACAGCGGCCTCCTGGTTGTTGCCGTTGACTCGCAGCGCCTCCACAATGTCCTTCTCCACACACACACCCCACACACACACACACACCCCACACACACACACACCACACACCCCACACACACACACACCCCACACAGCACACACACCACACACACCCCACACAGCACACACACCACACACACCCCACACAGCACTCACACCACACACACCCCACACAGCACACACACCCCACACACACCCCACACACACCCCACACACACCCCACACACACCACACACACCACACAGCACACACACCCCACACACCCCACACAGCACACACACCCCACACACACACACACCCCACACAGCACACACACCCCACACACACACACACCCCACACAGCACACACACACCACACACACCACACACACACCACACACACCCCACACAGCACACACACCACACACACCCCAGCAGCACTCACAGCGGCCTCCTGGTTGTTGCCGTTGACTCGCAGCGCCTCCACAATGTCCTTCTCCACACACACCCCACACACCACACACCCCACACCCCACACAGCACTCACACCCCACACACACCACACACACCCCACACACACCACACACACCCCAGCAGCACTCACAGCGGCCTCCTGGTTGTTGCCGTTGACTCGCAGCGCCTCCACAACGTCCTTCTCCTCGAAGCCCATCTCCAGCAGCGCCGCCAGCGCCTGCCCCGCACAGCCCACAGCTCGCAAACGCGTTTTGATTCCTTACCCTACCCGTACCCTACCCGTACCCTACCCGTACCCTACCCGTACCCTACCTGTACCCGTACCCTACCCGTACCCTACCCGTACCCTACCCGTACCCTACCCGTACCCATACCCTACCCGTACCCTACCCGTACCCTACCTGTACCCGTACCCTACCCGTACCCTACCCGTACCCGTACCCTACCCGTACCCGTACCCTACCCGTACCCTACCCGTACCCTACCCGTACCCTACCCGTACCCTACCCGTACCCTACCCTACCCGTACCCTACCCGTACCCTACCCTACCCGTACCCTACCCGTACCCTACCCGTACCCTACCCGTACCCTACCCGTACCCTACCCGTACCCTACCCGTACCCTACCCGTACCCGTACCCTACCCGTACCCTACCCGTACCCTACCCGTACCCGTACCCTACCCGTACCCTACCCGTACCTACCCGTACCCTACCCGTACCCCTACCCTACCCGTACCCGTACCCTACCCGTACCCTACCTGTACCCGTACCCTACCCGTACCCTACCCGTACCCGTACCCTACCCGTACCCGTACCCTACCCGTACCCTACCCGTACCCTACCCGTACCCTACCCTACCCGTACCCTACCCGTACCCTACCCGTACCCTACCCTACTCGTACCCTACCCGTACCCTACCCGTACCCTACCCGTACCCTAACCGTACCCTACGCGTACCCTACCCGTACCCGTACCCTACCCGTACCCTACCCGTACCCTACCTACCGTACCCGTACCCTACCCGTACCCTACCCGTACCCGGCCGCACCAGGATCGCAAACGGGTACCCGTACCCGGCTAGGTACGGGTACCCGTACTCTACCCGTACCCTACCCGAAATGAGTGACAAACGGGTACTCACCAGTGACTCACGGCCTACCCGTACCCGGCCGCACCAGGGTCGCAAACGGCTACCCGTACCCGTACCCGGCCGGGTACGGGTACGGGTAGCCGGGTATCGGGTAGGGTACGGGTATCGGGTACCCGGTTGCGACCTCTGGCACAGCCACAACCAGCAGCGCCCCCGTCAGCAACGCCCACTCACCCTGCGAGCGTCGCTACGAGATGTTAACTACCTCGCCTGGTCTACAGGAGGTCGTGGGTTCGATCCCGACCCTGATGATGCCTGCTGCTGCTGCTGTATATTTGGAGTTTGCGTGTCTCTCTCTCATCGTCATCACGGTGGCTAGGAGATGTTAACTACCTCGCCTGGTATGCGGGCGGCCGTGGGTTCTGATCCCAGTTGCGGCGGTTGATGCGGTTGCTCTGGTTGCGGTGGTTGCGGCGGTTGCGGCTGTTGCTGTGGTTGCGGCTGTTGCTGTGGCAGCGGTGGTTGCAGTGGTTGCGGTGGTTGCCGCGGTTGCCGTGGTTGCGGCAATCGCGGCGATCGCGGCGATCGCGCCGGGCTTGCACTCACCATGGGGTCCGGCCGGAACTCCCGCCGGCGCCGGATCCGGCGGAACACCTCCGTGAGGTCGTCCGGGGTCGCGACCTCTCCCTGGGCCCCGCCCCTGGGCGACCGAGGGGCAGCGGGGGAGGTCGCCGGGGGGGCCGCCGGGGGGCGCGGCAACCACGAGGCCGTCGCCGCCGCTGGCCCCGTGATCGCCGGGGCGGTGGTGGTGGAGGTGGCGATGGTGGTGGTGGTGGAGGTGGTGGCGGTGGAGGTGGCGGCCGTTGAGTCATGCTCGTGCTCAATGAGCCACTCCATTGCGCGCGTCACCGACATGCTGGGGGGGGGGGGGGGGCAAGTGGGTGGGTGAGTGACGGTAAGTGAGGGTGGGTGAGGGTGAGTGAGGGTGGGTGAGGGTGGGTGGGCGGGTTAGCGAGCAGGTGAATGGGTGAGAGTGCGGATGAGTGAGCGAGCGAGCGGCTGACACGGTGAGTGACGGAGTGAGTGAGGTGAGCGATCAAGTGTAGGCTGAGTAGGAGTGAGGTTTGATCCGTGCGAGCGAGTGCGAGCGAGTGTGAGCGAGCGCGAGCGAGTGTGAGCGAGTGTGAGTGAGCGAGTGTGAGTGAGTGTGAGTGAGCGAGTGTGCACGCACTCGTTGGGAGTGCAGCGCCACGCTGGCACGGCCCTCTGGGAAGCCCATCTCCAGCAGCTGCGTCAGCGCCCCCTCCACCTCGAGTGTGAGCGAGCGTGTGCGAGCGAGTGTGAGCGAGCGAGCGTGTGAGCGAGTGTGAGCGAGTGTGCACGCACTCGTTGGAGTGCAGCGCCACGCTGGCACGGCCCTCTGGGAAGCCCATCTCCAGCAGCTGCGTCAGCGCCCCCTCCACCTCGGGTGTGAGTGAGCGTGAGTGAGTGTGAGCGAGCGAGTGTGAGTGAGCGAGTGTGAGCGAGCGAGTGTGCACGCACTCGTTGGAGTGCAGCGCCACGCTGGCACGGCCCTCTGGGAAGCCCATCTCCAGCAGCTGCGTCAGCGCCCCCTCCACCTCAGGCGGCCGCTCAGCCTCCACGTCCTCATCCAACATGGCTGCTCACACAAAGACAAAGATCCCCCGTGTAGCCTTCAGACTGTCGGGGCAAGTGCTGTTAGCACTACACATCAGAGGTCGCAACCGGGTACCCGATACCCGTACCCTACGCAATACCCGGCTACCCGTACCCGGCCAGGTACGGGTAAGGAATCAAAACCCATTAGCGACCTCTGCTACACACAGACACAAAGACAAAGATCCCCCGTGTAGCCTTCAATAGACTGTAGGGGCAAGTGCTGTTAGCACTATACACACACACAGACAAAGATCCCCCGTGTAGCTTTCAACAGACTGTCGGGGCAAGTGCTGTAAGCACTACATACATACAAAGACAAAGATCCCCCGTGTAGCCTTCAATAGACTGTCGGGGCAGGTGCTGTTAGCACTACACACACACAAAGACAAAGATCCCCCGTGTAGCCTTCAACAGACTGTCGTGGCAAGTGCTGTAAGCACTACACACACACAAAGACAAAGATCCCCCGTGTAGCCTTCAACAGAGTGTAGGGGCAAGTGCTGTTGGCAAGTAGCAGCAGCTATGAAGGCCAGAACGGCACACGTAGGGATGGGTGGCCAGTATTTAGCGAGTGAGTGGTGAGTGAGTGGCGAGTGCTGGTGAGTGGTGAGTATTAGTGAGTGGCGAGCGAGTGGCAAGTGTTAGCGAGTATTTAGCGAGTGGTGAGTGAGTGGCGAGTGGTGAGTGAGTGGCGAATATTTGCGAGTGGCGGTGTTAGCGAGTGAGTGGCTCGTGCTGGCAAAGTGGTGGGCGAGCGGGTGAGCGAGCGGGTGAGCAAGCGGGCGGACAAGCGAGCGGGGGGATGAGCGAGCGGGCAGGTGAGGAAGCGGGTGAGCGAGCGGACGAGCGAGCGAGAGAGCGAGCGGGTGAGGGAGCGGGTGAGGGAGCGGGCGAGTGAGCGGGTGAGCGAGCGAGCGGGTGAGCAAGCGGGTGAGCGAGCGGGTGAGCGTGCGGGTGAGCAAGCGGGTGAGCGAGCGGGTGAGCGAGCGGGTGAGCGAGCAAGCGGGCGGGCGAGTGAGCGTGCGGGTGAGCGAGCGGGTGAGTGAGCGGGCGAGTGAGCGGGTGAGTGAGCGGGTTAGCGAGCGAGCGTGTGAGCGAGCGGGCGAGCGTGCGGGCGAGCGAGCGGGCGAGCGAGCGGGTGAGCGAGTGGGTGAGCGAGTGGGTGAGCGAGCGGGTGAGCGAGCGGGTGAGCGTGCGGGTGAGCAGGTGGGTGAGCGAGCGCGCACCGTTGGCGGTGCGGAACAAGTCGACCGCTTCGGGGTTGAGAGCGAGCAGCTTCTGAGCGACGTCGATGAGCGACACCAGGATCTTGCGCAGGTCCGTGTGGAACTGTGACGCCAGCACGCACACACACACGCACACACACACACACACACGCACACACACACACGCACACACACACACGCACACACACACACACACGCACACACACACACACGCGCACACACACACGCACACACACGCACACACACACACAGACACACACACACACGCACACACACACACGCACACACACACGCGCACACACACACGCACACACACGCACACACACACACACGCACACACACACACACGCACACACACACACGCACACACACACACGCACACACACACGCACACGCGCACACACACACGCACACACGCGCACACACACACGCACACACACGCACACACACACACAGACACACACACACACGCACACACACACGCACACAAAGATAAAGATCCCCCTTATAGCCTTAACAGACTGTAGGGGCAAGTGCTGTTAGCGAGCACCTATGAAGGCCGACACGGCACACGAGGGGGTGGGTGGCCAGCACCACGCCCGACCGCCTTTGTCTCCCCAGTGGCGATGTTTACTACCACACACCGCTACACCAGGTGCTCGTTTGAGGCTGAGTCGACCTAGGGGAGGCCCAGGACCAGTTCAGATAATCGTCACTGGTGTTGGCCGTGAGCGGGAATCGAACCCGGGTCGCCAGGTTCGTAGCGCAGCGTAGCGCTAACCACTACACCACCGCTCCCCACACACGCACGCACGCACGCACGCACACACAACGTACACACGCACACGCACGCACCCCCCCTCTGTGTAGCCTTAACAGACTGTTGGGGACTGTTGGGGCAAGCGCTGTCAGCGAGTGGCAGCAGCAACTATGAAGCCCGGGAACGCAGGCACACGCACGCAGAAACGCACGGAAAACAACAACAACAGGAGGACGAACAGGCGGAGTTGGGCGGCGCGTCACGCACACACGCACCAATGACCGCCATTCGCCACTAAGCGGCGGTGACGTCACCACGGTGCCTGTGCCAGGCTAGGTGCACTTTGAGGGTATCGCGTGAAGTGTAGAAGGCTCGCTGACAGAAGGAGGTCACGGGACAGACCCAGCAGGTGCCACGGGTTGGCAGAGATGACCGGTAGATGCACCACCAGCTGTACCCCCTACTGTGCCAGGCTAGGTGCAGGAGGTCACGGGACAGACCCAGCAGGTGCCACGGGTTGGCTTACTGAGATGACCGGTAGATCCACCACCAGCTGTACCCCCCCTACTGTGCCAGGCTAGGTGCAGGAGGTCACGGGACAGGCCCAGCAGGTGCCGTGGGTTGGCCGACTGAGATGACCGGTAGATGCACCACCAGCTGTACCCCCTGCTGTGCCAGGCTAGGTGCAGGAGGTCACGGGACAGACCCAGCAGGTGCCACGGGTTGGCTTACTGAGATGACCGGTAGATCCACCACCAGCTGTACCCCCCCTACTGTGCCAGGCTAGGTGCAAGAGGTCACGGGACAGGCCCAGCAGGTGCCGTGGGTTGGCCGACTGAGATGACCGGTAGATGCACCACCAGCTGTACCCCCTGCTGTGCCAGGCTAGGTGCAGGAGGTCATGGGACAGACCCAGCAGGTGCCACGGGTCGGCCGACTGAGATGACCGGTAGATGCACCACCAGCTGTACCCCCCTACTGTGCCAGGCTAGGTGCAGGAGGTCACGGGACAGGCCCAGCAGGTGCCGTGGGTTGGCCGACTGAGATGACCGGTAGATGCACCACCAGCTGTACCCCCTACTGTGCCAGGCTAGGTGCAGGAGGTCACGGGACAGACCCAGCAGGTGCCACGGGTTGGCTTACTGAGATGACCGGTAGATCCACCACCAGCTGTACCCCCCCTACTGTGCCAGGCTAGGTGCAAGAGGTCACGGGACAGGCCCAGCAGGTGCCGTGGGTTGGCCGACTGAGATGACCGGTAGATGCACCACCAGCTGTACCCCCTGCTGTGCCAGGCTAGGTGCAGGAGGTCATGGGACAGACCCAGCAGGTGCCACGGGTCGGCCGACTGAGATGACCGGTAGATGCACCACCAGCTGTACCCCCCTACTGTGCCAGGCTAGGTGCAGGAGGTCACGGGACAGGCCCAGCAGGTGCCGTGGGTTGGCCGACTGAGATGACCGGTAGATGCACCACCAGCTGTACCCCCTGCTGTGCCAGGCTAGGTGCAGGAGGTCACGGGACAGACCCAGCAGGTGCCACGGGTTGGCTTACTGAGATGACCGGTAGATCCACCACCAGCTGTACCCCCCCTACTGTGCCAGGCTAGGTGCAAGAGGTCACGGGACAGGCCCAGCAGGTGCCGTGGGTTGGCCGACTGAGATGACCGGTAGATGCACCACCAGCTGTACCCCCTGCTGTGCCAGGCTAGGTGCAGGAGGTCACGGGACAGACCCAGCAGGTGCCACGGGTCGGCCGACTGAGATGACCGGTAGATGCACCACCAGCTGTACCCCCCTACTGTGCCAGGCTAGGTGCAGGAGGTCACGGGACAGACCCAGCAGGTGACGTGTGGGTTAACCGACTTGAGATGACTGGTAGATGCACCACCAGCTGTACCCCCCTACTGTGCCAGGCTAGGTGCAGGAGGTCACGGGACAGACCCTGCAGGTGCCACGGGTCGGCCGACTTGGATGACCGGTAGATGTACCACCACCTGTGCCTCCTACTGTGCCAACTCGCTGCATTTTATCTGCCCAGCGCTCCGCTCGTTGTTGTGAGCGTCGCTCCTCCGCCCTCCGTTGTTGTCGGAGGGCGACTGCCTCCAACTGCCCAGTATCAGCGTCCTCCATAACAACAACAACTGCCATTCGCCACTAAGTGGCGGTGACGTCACCACGACGCTTGTGCCAGGCCAAGTGCACCTTGAGGCCACGTGAAGTGTCGAACACCCATTGGTAGGAGCTCACGGGGCAGACCCAGCAGGTGCCACAGGTCGACTGACCGAGATGACCAAGATGACTGGCTGATGCACCACCTGTGCCCCCTACTGTGCCAACTTGCTGTGATTTAGCCACCCGGCGCTCCGCTCGTTGTTGTGAGCGTCGCTCCTCCGCCCTCCGTTGTTGTTGGAGGGCGACTGCCTCCAACTGCCCAGTAGCGTCCTTCACGAGCCTCCTCCAGAGGCCGATCTTGACACCGCTGGTACCAGTCATCGGCAAGTCCACTCAGCTCCACGTCCTCCTGTACCACATCACTCCATCTCTTCTCCAGCCCGTGCCGCGCCCGTCTAGCCCCCTCGATCCGGCCGAACAAAAAGCTGTTTAGGCATGCGGTGGCTGGGCATGCGGGCTACATGACCCAGCCAACGCAGCCTTGCCTGCCGGAGGAGCTCACCGATGGGACTTTGCCCAGATCTTTCAAGGATTTGTGAGCTCCTCACACAATCCAGCCTGCAGGTTAAACCCACGATGGATCGTAGGCAGGCCAGCCTAAATGTTTCCTCCATAAACACACGAGCACACACACACACAGGCACGCACGCCAGCGGACACGCACGGACAACAACAACAACAGGAGGAGCAACAGGCGGCCGCTTCTCACGTCACGGATGTTGGGGGGGGCGGTGGTGGTGCGCGACGCATTCCTCGCCCGCACGCCTGCCGTCGCCTGGACGATGGCATCACGGTCCGGGGCTTTCTGCTCCGCCTTCCGCTACACGCACACACACACACACGCACACACACACACACGCACACACACACACACGCACACACACGCACACACACGCACACACACGCACACACACGCACACACACGCACGCACACACACGCACACGTCGTACACACACACGCACGCACACACACACACACGCACGCGCACGCACGCACACACACGCACACACACACACACACGCACACACACACACGCACGCACGCACACACACACGCACACACACACACACGCACACACACACGTCGTACACACACACGCACACACACACACACGCACGCGCACGCACGCACGCACACGTCGTACATACACGCACACACACGCACGCACGTACGCGCACGCACACGTCGTACACACACACGCACGCACGCACGTACACACGCACGCACACACACGCACGCACACACACACGCACACACACACGCATGCACGTACACACACACGCACGTACACACGCACGCACGTACACACGCATGCACACACGTACAAAGACAAAGATCACCCGTATAGCCTTAACAGACTGTAGGGGCAAGTGCTGTTAGCGAGCACCTATGAAAGCCGGAACGGTACACGAGGGGGAGGGTGGCCAGCACCACGCCCGACCGCCTTTGACTCCCCAGTGACGATGTTTATACACCGCACCAGGTACTCATTTGAGGCCGAGTCGACCTAGGGGAGGCCCAGGGCCGGTTCAGATAATCGTCACCGGTGTTGGCCGTGAGCGGGAAACGAACTGGGGTCTCCAGGTTCGTAGCGCGGCGTAGCGCTGACCGCTACACTACACACAGACAAAGCTTTTCAACTGGTACAAAAACTGACGCCTTTATACAAGGGATCATGTTTAGCAATAACCACAACACAAGCAGTCAAAATGCAAACAAAAATAAACAACTCTGATAATGATATGCACTGTCCTTGACGTTGATTGGTCCACACACGAGACAGCTTTTCTTAGAGCCTAGTCTCCATTGGTGTTGGACCAGATGACGCCAAAAGGCGTACAACTCAAAAGACAGCGCACCATCAGAGTATGAAAGCTCGGGGTGAAGCATTTACACTATGAGACATCTCTTTTACCAGTGGCAAAATATAATAGTAGGTTTTAACCCTTTCAAATGATACAAAAACTGGCATCATGTTTGCAATAACCACAACACATGCTTGTTTTGTGGTTATTGCAAATATGATGCCTTGTATAAAGGTGTCAGTTTTTGTACCTGTTGAAAGGGTAAAAACCTATCACTGTGCAGACAAAGCTATCGCGTTTAACAGAGGTTTTTGGGTTAGATCGCGTAAATGTATAAATGTGTCGTGAAAACCCTACACCACCCGGCACAGCCAACCAGTAAGGGTTGTCACAGAAACAGAACGTGGCCAATTCGTCACTGGTACAGCACTAGTGTGTAGTGTATAGTGTAGTATATAGTGTAGTGTATAGTGTAGTATACTAGTACAGCACTAGTATATAGTGTAGTGTATAGTGTAGTATACTAGTACAGCACTAGTATATAGTGTAGTGTGTAGTGTATAGTAGTGTATAGTGTAGTGTATAGTGTAGTGTGTAGTGTATAGTAGTGTATAGTGTAGTGTATAGTGTAGTGTGTAGTGTAGAGTGTAGTGTGTAGTGTAGTATACTAGTACAGCACTAGTGTGTAGTGTGTAGTGTAGTGTGTAGTGTAGTGTATAGTGTAGTGTATAGTGTAGTGTATAGTGTAGTATACTAGTATAGCACTAGTGTGTAGTGTATAGTGTAGTATACTAGTACAGCACTAGTGTGTAGTGTATAGTGTAGTGTAGTGTGAGATACTAGTACAGCACTAGTGTATAGTGCAGTGTATAGTGTAGTGTATAGTGCAGTGTATAGTGTAGTGTATAGTGTAGTATACTAGTACAGCACTAGTGTATAGTGCAGTGTATAGTGTAGTGTATAGTGTAGTGTATAGTGTAGTGTATAGTGTAGTATACTAGTACAGCACTAGTGTATAGTGCAGTGTATAGTGTAGTGTATAGTGCAGTGTATAGTGCAGTGCATAGTGTAGTGTATAGTGTAGTATACTAGTACAGCACTAGTGTGTAGTGTATAGTGTAGTGTATAGTGTAGTGTATAGTGTAGTGTATAGTGTAGTGTATAGTGTAGTGTAGTGTGTAGTGTAGTGTGTATACTAGTACAGCACTAGTGTGTAGTGTAGTGTATAGTGTAGTGTATAGTGTAGTATACTAGTACAGCACTAGTGTGTAGTGTATAGTGTAGTGTATAGTGTAGTGTATATTGTAGTGTATATTGTAGTGTATTGTGTAGTGTAGTGTGTAGTGTAGTGTATAGTGTAGTGTATAGTGTAGTGTATAGTGTAGTGTATAGTGTAGTGTATAGTGTAGTGTATAGTGTAGTGTATATTGTAGTGTATATTGTAGTGTATTGTGTAGTGTAGTGTGTAGTGTAGTTTATAGTGTAGTGTATAGTGTAGTGTATAGTGTAGTGTATAGTGGAGTGTATAGTATAGTGTATAGTGTAGTGCATAGTGTAGTATACTACTACAGCACCACCGCCATGTGTTGGGAGATCCAAACCACAACATTGACAAACTGAGCGCGACGTTTCGCTTGCGCCGGGCTCGCCGGTCCCGAGTGTGCAAAGCGGAGGAGGGGAGCAAACCTTCTCCTCGGACGCCACGTCCGTCATCTTGGGAAGCGGTGGCGGGGGGCGCCTACGGATCAACAGCAGCACGTCTGCGGCGACAAACGCAAAAAGGTTCCCGCCAACAACCCCTCAACGCGACAGCCGGTGCAGCCTTCGAAAGGGGAGCGCTCCACTCTTTGGTTCTTTCGGCAAAGTCACGCGCGTAGGAACAAATATAACAGATCGCATTTTCCCCACCCACGGTGGCTTTACCGAGAGAAAGAAAGAAAGAGCGTGGATTCCCCGCAGACACGGAAGCTTCAAATCTTTCGGTAAAGTCACGTAGAAGGGAAGTAATAAAATAATAAAAATAAAACATAATAAAATACAATTCTCACGAAGTTTCGGCCACAACGCAAGCAGCCGCCCTCAGGTGAAGAACAGAGCGGTGTTCATTGGGACGCTGTCTTCCCGACAGACCTGTTCTTCACCTGAGCACAGCTGCTTGCGTTGTGGCCGAAACGTCGTGAGAATTATTTTATTAAGTTTTATTTTTATTATTTTATTACTTCCCTTCTACGTGACTTTGCCGAAAGAACCAAGAAGATGAATCCCTGCAGTCACGAAAGCTTTAAATCGAAAGGCAAGAGAGCTGTCGGCTGTCAGCAGCGGGCAGCAGCAGCAGCATTAGCAGTAGCAGCAGCAGTAGCAGTAGCAGCCGCCGCGCCTCCGAAGGCCGGCACGACGGCACACGACGGCCACGGGGCCGCTGGCGCGCGGGCGACGAGGCCTCGGGCTCTCACCAGAGGTCGCAACCGGGTACCCGATACCCGTACCCTACCCGATACCCGGCTACCCGTACCCAGCCCGGTACGGGTACCCATTTGCGACCCTGGTGCGGCCGGGTACGGGTAGGCCGTGAGTCACCGGTGAGTAACCGTTTGTCACTCATTTCGGGTAGGGTACGGGTACGGGTAGGGAACGGCTACCCATTTGCGACCCTGGTGCGGCCAGGTACGGGTAAGGAATCAAAACCCATTTGCGACCTCTGCCTCTCACCCTGGTCCTGCAGGCCCTCCTGTGCGGCCGTGCGCGAGTCTGCCAGGCTCCGCACGCTGCCCACGTGCACCAGCTTGTAGTGGCTGGCGGCCTTAGGGTCCTCCGCTGCTCCTGGCACGCACTACGGAGGGGGCGGAGGGGGGGGCATGGCGAGGGGGGTCGTGGCAAACCGAAATATATATTCGGCGAAGTAGCGAGTTAAACGTATATGCACATTCTTTTGTTAAGGCGCTCTTCTTCCACCTCCAACGCAGCTTAAATATAAGCTCCTAGCTTGGCAGTGTCTCATTCTTCACCTGAAGACGGCTGCTTGCGTTGTAGCCGAAACGTCGTGAGAATTATTTTATTATGTTTTATTTTTATTATTTTATTACTTCCCTTCTACGTGACTTGACCGAAAGAACCAAGGAGATGAATCCCTGCAGTCACGAAAGCTTTAAATCGAAATTTAAACGTATAGTTTCGATTTAAAGCTTTCGTGACTGCAGGGATTCATCTTCTTGGTTCTTTCGGTAAAGTCACGTAGAATTGAAATATTAAAATAATAAAATAAAACATTATATTATTAAACATAAACATTATTTTATTATGTGACTGCAGGAATCCTTACTCTTTGGTTCTTTCGGTAAAAGTCAAGTATGTAGAAAATGAATAGCTTACGACGTTTCGATCGCCTGAAGACGGTCGCTTGTGTTGCGATCGCAACGTGACCTGCAGTGTGGTGAGTGAGTGAATAGGTGAGTGGGTGAGTAAATAGGTGAGTAGGTGAGTGAATAGATGAGTGGGTGAGTGAATATGTGAGTGGGTGAATGAATAGGTGAGTGGGTGAGTGAATAGGTGAGTAGGTGAGTGGGTGAGTGAATAGATGAGTGGGTGAGTGAGTAGATGAGTGGGTGAGTGAATAGATGAGTGGGTGAGTGAATAGGTGAGTGGGTGAGTGAACAGATGAGTGGGTGAGTGAACAGATGAGTGGGTGAGTGGATAGATAAGTGGGTGAGAGAAAAGGTGAGTGGGTGAGTGAATAGGTGAGTGGGTGAGTGAGTGGGTGAGTGAATAGGTGAGTGGGTGAGTGGGTGAGTGGATAGATGAGTGGGTGAGTGAATATGTGAGTGGGTAAGTAAATAGATGAGTAGGTGAGTGAATAGATGAGTGGGTGAGTGAATGTGAGTAGCTGAGTGGGTGAGTGAATAGGTGAGTGGGTGAGTGAATAGGTGAGTGGGTGGGTGAATAGGTGAATAGGTGAGTGGGTGAGTGAATGTGAGTAGGTGAGTGGGTGAGTGAATAGGTGAGTGGGTGAGTGAATAGATGAGTGGGTGAGTGAATAGGTGAGTGGGTGAGTGAATAGATGAGTGGGTGAGTGAATGTGAGTAGGTGAGTGGGTGAGTGAATAGGTGAGTGGGTGAGTGACTAAGTGAGTGGGTGAGTGAATAGGTGAGTGGGTGAGTGAATGTGAGTAGGTGAGTGGGTGAGTGAATAGGTGAGTAGGTGAATGAATGGTTGTGACCTACACTGCACAATAATGATGATTAGTGATGATCCGGCATTTTTTTCTAAATCCGATACCCCCTCCCCCCCCCCCACCGAAGCCACCGGATAATTGATGATCTGTAATTTATCCGAAGCGAAACCTGGCTACCGCAAACAAAGAATCGATCACCACCCCAATCACTCACCCGCTCGCTCACCCCCCCCCCCCTCTCCGCCACACACAACGCCTCACCAATACCAACACCCGCCATTCGCCACGAAGTGACGGTGACGTCACCACGGCGCCTGTGCCAGGCCAGGTGCACTTTCAGGCTATCTCTGATATGAGGTCTCGGGACTGACCCAGCAGGTGCCATGAGTTGGCTGACTGAGATGACCGGTAGATGCACCATCAGCTGTACCCCCTACTGTGCCAGGCTAGGTGCAGGAGGTCACGGGACAGACCCAGCATGTGCCATGGGTTGGCTGACTGAGATGACCGGTAGATGCACCACCAGCAGTACCCCCTACTGTGCCAGGCTAGGTGCAGGAGGTCACGGGACAGACCCAGCAGGTGCCATGAGTTGGCTGACTGAGATGACCGGTAGATGCACCACCAGCTGTACCCCCTACTGTGCCAGGCTAGGTGCAGGAGGTCACGGGACAGACCCAGCAGGTGCCATGGGTTGGCTGAGATGACCGGTAGATGCACCACCAGCAGTACCCCCTACTGTGCCAGGCTAGGTGCAGGAGGTCACGGGACAGACCCAGCAGGTGCCATGGGTTGGCTGACTGAGATGACCGGTAGATGCACCATCAGCTGTACCCCCTACTGTGCCAGGCTAGGTGCAGGAGGTCACGGGACAGACCCAGCAGGTGCCATGGGTTGGCTGACAGAGATGACCGGTAGATGCACCATCAGATGTACCCCCCTGCTGTGCCAGGCTAGGTGCAGGAGGTCACGGGACAGACGCTGCAGGTGCCATGAGTTGGCTGACTGAGATGACCGGTAGATGCACCACCAGCTGTACCCCCTACTGTGCCAGGCTAGGTGCAGGAGGTCACGGGACAGACCCAGCATGTGCCATGAGTTGGCTGACTGAGATGACCGGTAGATGCACCACCAGCTGTACCCCCTACTGTGCCAGGCTAGGTGCAGGAGGTCACGGGACAGACCCAGCAGGTGCCATGGGTTGGCTGAGATGACCGGTAGATGCACCACCAGCAGTACCCCCTACTGTGCCAGGCTAGGTGCAGGAGGTCACGGGACAGACCCAGCAGGTGCCATGGGTTGGCTGACTGAGATGACCGGTAGATGCACCATCAGCTGTACCCCCTACTGTGCCAGGCTAGGTGCAGGAGGTCACGGGACAGACCCAGCAGGTGCCATGGGTTGGCTGACAGAGATGACCGGTAGATGCACCATCAGATGTACCCCCCTGCTGTGCCAGGCTAGGTGCAGGAGGTCACGGGACAGACGCTGCAGGTGCCATGAGTTGGCTGACTGAGATGACCGGTAGATGCACCACCAGCTGTACCCCCTACTGTGCCAGGCTAGGTGCAGGAGGTCACGGGACAGACCCAGCAGGTGCCATGGGTTGGCTGACTGAGATGACCGGTAGATGCACCATCAGCTGTACCCCCTACTGTGCCAGGCTAGGTGCAGGAGGTCACGGGACAGACCCAGCAGGTGCCATGGGTTGGCTGACAGAGATGACCGGTAGATGCACCATCAGATGTACCCCCCTGCTGTGCCAGGCTAGGTGCAGGAGGTCACGGGACAGACGCTGCAGGTGCCATGAGTTGGCTGACTGAGATGACCGGTAGATGCACCACCAGCTGTACCCCCTACTGTGCCAGGCTAGGTGCAGGAGGTCACGGGACAGACCCAGCATGTGCCATGAGTTGGCTGACTGAGATGACCGGTAGATGCACCACCAGCTGTACCCCCCTACTAGTAACGAATTATCCACGTTCTATTTAGGGTCGGTGGTGGTGGTGGGGGGGGGGTGTCTAGGGTGGGGGTCTCTGCCCGCCGACTCGAGGCGTTTGCCGCGGGCCGCTCAGGCAAGACCGCAGGATGCGCCGTCGGGCCTACCTGCGGCAGGGCGCGTTCTTTGAGCTCCCGCAGAGGCGCCGCCTCGGCCGCCTCGCCCCGCCACTCGGCGCCGTCGGCCGCGAGCACAGTGAGGCGTAGCAGCAGCGCCTGGGCCGCAAAGATCTTCTCCTCTTCGACGAACATCGTGGCGATGGTGGTGGTGGTGATGATGGTGGTGGTGGTGATGATGGTGGTGGGTGGTGGGGGGAGAGAGGGGCGTGTGACGTCATCGCGGAGTGTTGCCACCTCCGCCATATTACGTAGGGAATGTGTGTTGAAGGTGCATGACGTCATCGCGGAGAGTCGCCACCTCCGCCATATTACGTAGGGGATGTGTGTTGAGGGTGCAGACGTCATCGCGGAGAGTCGCCACCTCCGCCATATTACGTAGGGGATGTGTGTTGAAGGTGCGTGACGTCATCGCGGAGTGTCGCCACCTCCGCCATATTACGTAGGGGATGTGTGTTGAGGGTGCAAGACGTCATCGCGGAGAGTCGCCACCTCCGCCATATTACGTAGGGGATGTGTGTTGAAGGTGCATGACGTCATCGCAGAGTGTCGCCACCTCCGCCATATTACGTAGGGGATGTGTGTTGAAGGTGCATGACGTCATCGCGGAGAGTCGCCACCTCCGCCATATTACGTAGGGGATGTGTGTTGAAGGTGCATGACGTCATCGCGAAGAGTCGCCACCTCCGCCATATTACGTAGGGGATGTGTGTTGAGGGTGCATGACGTCATGGCTGAGTGTTACTACCTCCGCCATATTACGTAGGGAGTGGGGAGGTGGTTGAGGGTGCATGACGTCATCGCGGAGTGTCGCCACCTCCGCCATATTACGTAGGGAATACGTGTTGAAGGTGCATGACGTCATCGCAGAGTGTCGCCACCTCCGCCATATTACGTAGGGAATAGGTGTTGAAGGTGCATGACGTCATCGCGGAGTGTTACCACCTCCTCCATATTATGTAGGGAGTGTGGAGGGGTGGTTGAGGGTGCATGACGTCATCGCGGAGTGTCGTCACCTCCGCCATCTTACGAATGGGGGGAGGGGACGGTTGGGGTGCGTGACGTCATCGCAGAGTGCCGCCATCTTACGTAGGGGGGATGGGGTGACGTCATCGCTATATTACAAAGGGGGGAGTTGGGGTGGGGATAGTGGAGGGATGACGTCATCGCGGAGTGTCACCATCGCCGCCATCTTACGTAGGGGGGGAAGGTCGGGATGCGTGACGTCGTCACGTCGCCATCTTACGTAGGGGGGAGAGGTTGGGGGGGGGTGTTTGTCGGATCTTGAAAATGAATAAAAATATTTTTAAAAATTATGGAATTTTTTTTGTCGTAATTTTCCGAAATTATGATAATTTATGCATTAGGGAGGTGCAATTGTCTTTAATTATGCAAATTCATGTGTCTTCTTGGTTCTTTCGGTAAAGTCACGTAGAAGGGAAGTAATAAAATAATAAAAATAAAACATAATACAATTATTCTCACGACGTTTCGGCCACAACGCAAGCAGCCGTCCTCAGGTGAAAACCAGGTCCGTCGAGGCGACAGCGTCTGAAATGTTTTCACCTGAGGACGGCTGCTTGCGTTGTGGCCGAAACGTCGTGAGAATTATTTTATTATGTTGTATTTTTATTATTTTATTATTTCCCTTCTACGTGACTTTACCAAAGGAACCAAAAAGATGAATCCCTGAGAGTCACGAAAGCTTTAAATCAAAATTCAAATGCATGTGATTATGCTAATGTATGTAGTTATTATAATTAGGCTCAGCTTCGTTGTCTAGGGCCATATTATCAATCGGGATAATACAATTATTCTCGCTTTAACATTTATTGATTGTGTCTTAGTGTGTTTATGTCAGGTCTCCAGATTCAAATCTCACCGCAGGATAGAGTTCTTATAATTTAAAGATTATTATGCATGAACTTAGGAAGGCACCACTCAGACAATTCTGTGTTAAGCACCTTTAATTTCTAAACAAAAACATAACACTCTAATATGCGAACTCTTATGCTAGGAATTGTCAACACAGTACTTTTCTCCTGGGTAACAGAACAATCGATTAATTTTCGATTTAAAGCTTTCGTGACTGCAGGGATTCATCTTCTTGGTTCTTTCGGTAAAGTCACGTAGAAGGGAAGTAATAAAATAATAAAAATAAAACGATTAAATAATTCTCACATGCATATCAAGAGGAAGTTTGCATATTTATGGGAAATGCAGAAATTCCACTTGATAGGTAAATTCCTTTGTCAAGGCGCCCTTTCCCCCTCCAACCCAGCTTAAATATACGCTGCCAAGCTTGGTGGTGCTCATTCAGACGCTGTCTTCCCGACAGACCTGGTCTTCACCTGAGGACGGCTGCTTGCGTTGTGGCCGAAAACGTCGTGAGAATAATTTTATTATGTTTTATTTTTATTATGTTAACAGGTCCCTGCGGGGTGGGCTGGTAGGAACGAATAACCAAACAATATAAACATAATGTATTATGACACTTGTTTAGCCAGGAAAGCCTCACTGAGTGTAAAGGTTTTTGTAGGGTCCTGCCAAGTGTTTGCAGTAGGGGGCGATGTTGCTACACCTAATCGGACGATACGAAGGGAGAGTTTGAGGCCTAGTTCTAGGCTTTAGGCCTAGCTGTAGGCTTTAGGCCGCTGTGAGTTAATTTTTTATTTAAATGTTTTAATTATTAATGTAAAAGCTTTAAATGTAAATGTTTCTATTTAAAAACATCAGGGTATGTACCATTGTTAAACATGAACTCCCTTTCACACACGCGGGGTGTACGATACGAAGGGAGAGTTTGAGGCCTAGTTCTAGGCTTTAGGCCTAGCTGTAGGCTTTAGGCCGCTGTGAGTTAATTTTTAATTTAAATGTTTTAATTATTAATGTAAAAGCTTTAAATGTAAATGTTTCTATTTAAAAACATCAGGGAATGTACCATTGTTAAACATGAACTCCCTTTCACACACGCGGGGTGTACGATACGAAGGGAGAGTTTGAGGCCTAGTTCTAGGCTTTAGGCCTAGCTGTAGGCTTTAGGCCGCTGTGAGTTAATTTTTAATTTAAATGTTTTAATTAAAAACTATCTCAGGGAATTATAAGGGAATGTTACACTTGTTTAGCCAGGAAAGCGTCACTGAGTCTAAAGGTTTTTGTAGGGTCCTGCCAAGTGTTTGCAGTAGGGGGCGATGTTGCTACACCTAATCGGACATCGGACGGACGGACGATATAATCTATTGTAGGCTGGTTCACTTCGTTCCTACCAGTATTATTATTTCCCTTCTACGTGATGACTTTACCGAAAGAACCAAGAAGATGAATCCCTGCAGTCACCATGGGGGGGGGGGGGGGGGGGGGGGGTTTCACTTCCCGTTTCACCATGGAGGAGGGAGGGGTTTCACTTCCCGTTTCACCATGGGGGGGAGGGGTTTCACTTCCAGTTTCACCATGGGGGGGGGGGGGGAGGGGTTTCACTTCCCGTTTCACCATGGGGGGAGGGGTTTCACTTCCAGTTTCACCATGGGGGGGGGGGAGGGGTTTCACTTCCTGTTTCACCATGGGGGGGGAGGGGTTTCACTTCCTGTTTCACCATGGGGGGGGGGAGGGGTTTCACTTCCCGTTTCACCATGGGGGGGGGGGGAGGGGTTTCACTTCCCGTTTCACCATGGGGGGGGAGGGGTTTCACTTCCTGTTTCACCATGGGGGGGGGGGGGGTTTCACTTCCCGTTTCACCATGGGGGGGAGGGGTTTCACTTCCCGTTTCACCATGGGGGGGGGGGAGGGGTTTCACTTCCCGTTTCACCATGGGGGGGGGGGGAGGGGTTTCACTTCCAGTTTCACCATGGGGGGTGGAGAGTTTCACTTCTGCTTTCTGCAGGAGAAAGCGGTGACTATGAGCGGTGACGATGGCTTGAGAGGGAACGAAGCCGTCAGTGGGGTCAGGAATCATTGAAGCGTTTAATCTCAAAAACACTTTGCGTGCGTGCGCGCGTGTGTGTCCACTCGACAGAGAATTAGCCACTCGAGATTCTTCCAGCGACTACAAGACGAACCACACCGAGTGACAGCACCGAGGAACCACACGAAGGTTACCAGACAGTGGAACCAGAGGAACCACAGAGGAACCACCACACACAACACTACAGAGGAACAGTGGAACCAGAGGAACCACCACACACAACACTACAGAGGAACAGTGGAAGAAGCAGAACAACACAGCAGAACCACACAGGAACTACACAGAGGAACAGTGGAACCAGAGGAACCACAGAGGAACCACCACACACAACACTACAGAGGAACAGTGGAAGAAGCAGAACAACACAGCAGAACCACACAGGAACTACACAGAGGAACAGTGGAACCAGAGGAACCACAGAGGAACCACCACACACAACACTACAGAGGAACAGTGGAACCAGAGGAACCACCACACACAACACTACAGAGGAACACAGTGGGACAAGCAGAACCACACAGCAGAACCACACGGAGTGACCACACAGTGGAACCAGAGGACCCACACACGACACCACACAGAGGAACCACACGAAGAGACCACACAAAGTGACCACACAGTGGAACCAGAGGAACCACACAGAACAGAGGAACCACAAAGTGGAACCATAGGGACCACAGAGGAACCACCACACACAACACTACAGAGGAACACAGTGGGACAAGCAGAACCACACAGAGGAACCACACAGTGGAACCACACAGAGGAACCAGAAGAACGACACAGAACAGTGGAACCACACAGAGGAACCACACGGAGTGACCACACAGTGGAACCAGAGGAACCACACAGAACAGAGGAACCACAAAGTGGACCCAGAGGAACCACAGAGGAACAACCACACACAACACTACAGAGGAACACATCGGAACAAGCAGAACCACACAGAGGAACCACACGAAGTGACCACACAGTGGAACCAGAGGAACTACACACGACACCACCGAGTGACTTGAATAGAGCGAAAATTCCTCCCATTTCAGAACGCGTTCCCACCACCCACCCACATCGCCCCCCACCCACCCACACAGCCACCCCCCACCCACACAGCCCCCCCCCACCCACCCACACAGCCACCCCCACCCACACAGCCACCCCCCACCCACCCACCCACAGCCCCCCACACCACCCCCCCCCCCCGCTCCCAGACCGCCACGCGATTCAAGGCCACTTCCTCCGCTCACGACGGACCCCCCCCCCCGCTGTTTGGTAGCCCCCCTCCACACGTGTGAGTGGGGGGGGGGGGGTCGGGAGGGCGCGATTGTCAATAGCGCAACTGCTGGTGCCCCCCCTCGTGTGCCCGTGTGCCCCCCCCCCCCGTGCGTTAAGGCCCCTGTGTGGGTGGGAGTGTAAACACGATGCACATGTCCCCACGTGTCCCCCCCCCCACGTGTCCCCCCCCCCCACGTGTCCCCCCCCCCACGTGTCCCCCCCCCCACGTGTCCCCCCGACGTGCCCCCCCACGTGTCCCCACACGTGTCCACCCACGTGTCCCCCCCCACACGTGTCCCCCCACGTGTCCCCCCTCCACGTGTCCCCCCCCACACGTGTCCCCCCACGTGTCCCCCTCCACGTGTCCCCCCACGTGCCCCCCCGACGTGCCCCCCCACGTGTCCACCCACGTGTCCCCCCCCACACGTGTCCCCCCCCACACGTGTCCCCCCCCACACGTGTCCCCCCCCACACGTGTCCCCCCCCACACGTGTCCCCCCCCACACGTGTCCCCACACGTGTCCCCACACGTGTCCCCCTCCACGTGTCCCCCCCACGTGTCCCCCTCCACGTGTCCCCACACGTGTCCCCCACACGTGTCCCCCCACGTGTCCCCCCCACGTGTCCCCCCACGTGCCCCCCCACGTGTCCCCACACGTGTCCCCCCCACGTGTCCCCCCACGTGCCCCCCCACGTGTCCCCCCCACGTGTCCCCCCCCCCCCCCCCCCGGTGCGTTAAGGCCCCTGGGCGGCAGTGCAACGGTGCGTGCTGGTTCAGGCCGTGGCCTCCTGCGGCCTCTGGGGCCACCGGTGGAGACCACAGGAGGAGGAAGTGTGAAGTGGAAGAACGTCGTGGGGTGGGGGGGTGTGGTGGGGGGGTGGGGGGGTGTGGTGGGGGGGGGTGGTGGTGGGGTGGTGGTGGTTTTGGTGTGGTGGTGGTAGGGGTGTGGTGGTGGTGGGGGGGGCGGTGGTGATGGTGGGGATGGTGGTGGGGGGGTGGTGGTGGTGTGGTGGGGGGTGGTGTGGTGGAGGGGTGGTGGGGGTGGGGAGTGGTGGTGGTGGGGGGGGGGTGGGATGGTGGTGGTGGTGGGGGGGTGGTGGTTGGGGGATGGGATGGTGGTGTGGTGGTGGTGGGGTGGTGGTGTGGTGGTGGTGGTGGTGTGGTGGTGGTGGGGTGGTGGTGTGGTGGTGGTGGGGTGGTGGTGTGGTGGTGGTGGTGTGGTGGTGTGGTGGTGGTGGGTGGTGGTGTGGTGGTGGTGGGGTGGTGGTGTGGTGGTGGTGGGGTGGTGGTGTGGTGGTGGTGGGGTGGTGGTGTGGTGGTGGTGGGGTGGTGGTGTGGTGGTGGTGGGGTGGTGGTGGGGTGGTGGTGGGGTGGTGGTGTGGTGGTGGTGGGGTGGTGGGGTGGTGGTGCGTGGTGGTGGTGGTGTAGCGATTAGCGCACTGCGCTATAAACCCGGCGACCCGAGTTCGAATCCAGCTCACGACCAACATCAGTAGCAAATATCTGACCCGGTCCTGGGCCTCCCTTAGGTCGACTCAGCTTCAAATGAGTACCTGGTGCGGTGTGTAAACATCGCCACTGGGGAGACAAAGGCGGCCGGGGGTGGTGCTACGAACGGCACTTGGCCCAGGCTACACGGGGGATCTTTGTCTTTGTGGCGTGTGGAGGGAAATAATGGACCTAAACACTTACACAGTGACGCGGTAACGCGCGTGGTTACAGGGTAACGTGGTTACAGGGTAACGCGCGTGGTTACAGGGTAACGTGGTTACAGGGTAACGCGCGTGGTTACAGGGTAACGTGGTTACAGGGTAACGCGCGTGGTTACAGGGTAACGTGCGTGGTTACAGGGTAATGTGGTTACAGGGTAACGCGCGTGGTTACAGGGTAACGTGCGTGGTTACAGGGTAATGAGCGTGGTTACAGGGTAACGTGGTTACAGGGTAACGCGCGTGGTTACAGGGTAACGTGGTTACAGGGTAATGAGCGTGGTTACAGGGTAACGTGGTCACAGGGTAACGTGGTCACAGGGTAACGCGCGTGGTTACAGGGTAACGCGCGTGGTTACAGGGTAACGTGGTTACAGGGTAACGCGCGTGGTTACAGGGTAACGTGGTTACAGGGCAACGTGGTTACAGGGTAACGTGGTTACAGGGTAACGCGCGTGGTTACAGGGTAACGCGCGTGGTTACAGTGAGACGGTAGTAGTGCAGTGAGGGTGACTACAGGGAGGCGGTAGTGGCGGTGTGCGGTGTGGTTCGGCGGTGGTGGTGGTGGCGGTGGTGATGCTGCGGTGGTGATGTGGTGGTAGTGGTGGTGGTGGTGGCGATGTTGCAGTGGTGATCTGGTGGTGGCCATGATGCTGCGGTGGTGGTGGTGATGCTACAGTGGTGATGTGGTGGTGGTGGCGGTGATGCCGCGGTGGTGATGTGGTGGTGGTGGTGGCGATGCTGCAGTGGTGATGTGGTGGTGGTGGCGGTGATGCTGCGGTGGTGATGTGGTGGTGGTGGTGGCGATGCTGCAGTGGTGATGTGGTGGTGGTGGCGATGCTGCAGTGGTGATGTGGTGGTGGTGGCGATGCTGCAGTAGTGATGTGGTGGTGGTGGTGATGCTGCGGTGGTGATGTGGTGGCGATGATGTAGTGATGTGGTGGTGGCGATGATGCTGTGGTGGTGGTGGTGATGCTGCGGTGGTGATGTGGTGGTGGCGATGCTGCAGTGGTGATGTGGTGGTGGTGGTGATGCTGCGGTGGTGATGTGGTGGTGGTGGTGATGTTGCGGTGGTGATGTGGTGGTGGCGATGCTGCAGTGATGATGTGGTGGTGGCGATGATGCAGTGATGTGGTGGTGGCGATGATGCTGTGGTGGTGGTGGTGATGCTGCGGTGATGATGTGGTGGTGGTGGTGATGCTGCGGTGGCGGTGGTGGCGGTGATGCTGTGGTGATGGTGGTGGTGATGCTGCAGTGATGTGGTGGTGGCGGTGATGCTGCGGTGGTGGTGGTGGCGATGATGCGGTGATGGTGGTGGCGGTGATGCTGCGGTGGCGCCGGTGGCGCGCGTCTAGGCGGTGTCGATGCGGTAGTTCTCGTGGATCTGGGGGTGCACGTCGCACACGAGCGCCAGCAGGCTGGCCAGGACGACGTCGCGCCGATCGCCGAAGCCGTCTTTCATCGCCAGCAGGCGCCGGTCCGTGTCCTCGTCCACGCGCGCCGACACGTCGCCCTGCGAGCCCAGGGCCTGCAACACAGCGCAACACACACACTCATCACTCACACAGCTCACTCACACAGCGCAACACACACACTCAGTGCACCACTCACGCAGCGCACCACACACACTCAGTGCACCACTCACACAGCGCAACACACACACTCAGTGCACCACTCACACAGCGCAACACACACACTCAGTGCACCACTCACACAGCGCAACACACACACTCAGTGCACCACTCACGCAGCGCACCACACACACTCAGTGCACCACACTCGCACACACAGCGCAACACACACACACACAACACTCATACAGCGCACCACACACACTCAGTGCACCACTCACACAGCGCAACACACACACACACAGCGCAACACACACACACATCACTCATACAGCGCACCACTCACAAACACACAGCGCACCACACACACACACACAGCGCATCACTCACACAGCGCACCACACACACACACAGCGCATCACTCACACAGCGCAACACACACACTCAGTGCATCACTCATACAGCGCAACACACACACTCAGTGCACCACTCACACAGCGCAACACACACACACACAGCGCAACACACACACACATCACTCATACAGCGCACCACTCACAAACACACAGCGCACCACACACACACACACAGCGCATCACTCACACAGCGCACCACACACACACACAGCGCATCACTCACACAGCGCAACACACACACTCAGTGCACCACACCTACACACAGCACACCACTCACACACACAGCGCATCACTCATACAGCGCACCACACACACACACAGCGCACCACTCACACAGCGCACCACACACACACAGCGCACCACTCACACACACACACACAGCGCATCACTCATACAGCGCACCACTCACAAACACACAGCGCACCACTCACACACACACAGCGCACCACACACACACTCAGTGCACCACACCTACACACAGCACACCACACACTCACACAGCGCATCACTCACACACACAGCGCATCACTCATACAGCGCACCACACACACACACACAGCGCACCACTCACACACACACAGCGCACCAATCACACACTCACACAGCGCACCACTCACACAGCGCGCCACTCACACACACACAGTGCACCACACACACACACAGCGCACCACACACACACACAGCGCACCACTCACACACACACAGCGCACCACTCACACACACACAGCGCACCACTCACACACACACAGCGCACCACACACACACAGCGCACCACTCACACACACACACAGCGCACCACTCACTCACACACAGCGTACCACACACACACACACAGCGCACCACTCACACACACACACAGCGCACCACTCACACACACACAGCGCACCACTCACTCACACACAGCGCACCACTCACACACACACTCACACACACACACAGCGCACCACTCACACACACACACAGCGCACCACTCACACACACACAGCGCACCACTCACTCACACACAGCGCACCACTCACACACACACACAGCGCACCACTCATACACACACACAGCGCACCACTCACACACACACAGCGCACCACTCACACACACACACAGCGCACCACTCACACACAGCGCACCACACACACACACAGCGCACCACTCACTCACACACAGCGCACCACTCACACACACACAGCGCACCACACACACACACACAGAGCACCACTCACACACACACAGAGCACCACTCACACACACACAGCGCACCACTCACACACACACAGCGCACCACTCACACACACACAGCGCACCACTCACACACACACAGCGCACCACTCACACACACACAGCGCACCACTCACACACACAGCGCACCACTCACTCACACACAGCGCACCACACACACACACAGCGCACCACTCACTCACACACAGCGCACCACTCACACACACACAGCGCACCACACACACACACACATAGCACCACTCACACACACACAGCGCACCACTCACACACACACAGCGCACCACTCACACACACACAGCGCACCACTCACACACACACAGCGCACCACTCACACACACACAGCGCACCACTCACACACACACAGCGCACCACTCACACACACACAGCGCACCACTCACACACACACAGCGCACCACTCACACACACACAGCGCACCACTCACACACACACACAGCGCACCACTCACACACACACAGCGCACCACACACACACACAGCGCACCACTCACACACACACAGCACACCACACACACACACAGCGCACCACACACACACACAGCGCACCACTCACACACACCCACAGCGCACCACTCACACACGCACAGCGCACCACTCACACACACACAGCGCACCACTCACACACACACACAGCGCACCACACACACACACAGCACACCACACACACGGCGCACCTCACACACACACGGCGCACCACTCACACACACGGCGCACCACACACACACACGGCGCACCACTCACACACGGCGCACCACTCACACACACACACAGCGCACCACACACACACAACGCACCACTCACACACACACAGCGCACCACTCACGCACACACACAGTGCACCACTCACACACACACAGCGCACCAGTCACACACACACCGCGCACCACTCACACACACACAGCGCACCACTCACACACAGCGCACCTCACACACACACAGTGCACCACTCACACACACACACAGCGCACCACTCACACTCGCACACAGCGCACCACTCACACACACACACAGCGCACCACTCACACACACACACACCCCCCCACTCACACACACACAGCGCAACACACACACACAGCGCACCACACACACACACACACAGCGCACCACTCACACACACACACACAGCGCACCACTCACACACACACACAGCGCACCACTCACACTCGCACACAGCGCACCACTCACACACACACAGCGCACCACACACACACAGCGCACCACTCACACACACACACAGCGCACCACTCACTCACACACAGCGTACCACACACACACACACAGCGCACCACTCACACACACACACAGCGCACCACTCACACACACACAGCGCACCACTCACTCACACACAGCGCACCACTCACACACACACTCACACACACACACAGCGCACCACTCACACACACACACAGCGCACCACTCACACACACACAGCGCACCACTCACTCACACACAGCGCACCACTCACACACACACACAGCGCACCACTCACACACACACACAGCGCACCACTCACACACACACAGCGCACCACTCACACACACACACAGCGCACCACTCACTCACACACAGCGCACCACACACACACACAGCGCACCACTCACTCACACACAGCGCACCACTCACACACACACAGCGCACCACACACACACACACAGAGCACCACTCACACACACACAGCGCACCACTCACACACACACAGCGCACCACTCACACACACACAGCGCACCACTCACACACACACAGCGCACCACTCACACACACACAGCGCACCACTCACACACACACAGCGCACCACTCACACACACACAGCGCACCACTCACTCACACACAGCGCACCACACACACACACAGCGCACCACTCACTCACACACAGCGCACCACTCACACACACACAGCGCACCACACACACACACACATAGCACCACTCACACACACACAGCGCACCACTCACACACACACAGCGCACCACTCACACACACACAGCGCACCACTCACACACACACAGCGCACCACTCACACACACACAGCGCACCACTCACACACACACAGCGCACCACTCACACACACACAGCGCACCACTCACACACACACAGCGCACCACTCACACACACACAGCGCACCACTCACACACACACACAGCGCACCACTCACACACACACAGCGCACCACACACACACACAGCGCACCACTCACACACACACAGCACACCACACACACACACAGCGCACCACACACACACACAGCGCACCACTCACACACACCCACAGCGCACCACTCACACACGCACAGCGCACCACTCACACACACACAGCGCACCACTCACACACACACACAGCGCACCACACACACACACAGCACACCACACACACGGCGCACCTCACACACACACGGCGCACCACTCACACACACGGCGCACCACACACACACACGGCGCACCACTCACACACGGCGCACCACTCACACACACACACAGCGCACCACACACACACAACGCACCACTCACACACACACAGCGCACCACTCACGCACACACACAGTGCACCACTCACACACACACAGCGCACCAGTCACACACACACAGCGCACCACTCACACACAGCGCACCTCACACACACACAGTGCACCACTCACACACACACACAGCGCACCACTCACACTCGCACACAGCGCACCACTCACACACACACACAGCGCACCACTCACACACACACACAGCGCACCACTCACACACACACAGCGCAACACACACACACAGCGCACCACACACACACACACACAGCGCACCACTCACACACACACACAGCGCACCACTCACACACACACACAGCGCACCACTCACACTCGCACACAGCGCACCACTCACACACACACAGCGCACCACTCACACTCGCACACAGCGCACCACACACACACACACCACACACACACACAGCGCACCACACAGCGCACCACTCACACTCGCACACAGCGCACCACTCACACACACACACACAGCGCACCACTCACACTCGCACACAGCGCACCACACACACACACAGCGCACCACTCACACACACACACAGCGCACCACTCACACACACACACAGCGCACCACTCACACTCGCACACAGCGCACCACTCACACACACACACAGCGCACCACTCACACACACACAAGCAGCGCACCACACACACACACACAGCGCACCACACACACACACACAGCGCACCACACCTACACACAGCGCACCACACACACACACCACACACACACACAGCACACCACACAGCGCACCACTCACACACACACACAGCACACCACACACACAGCGCCTCGCCCACTCCACGTTGCCGTGCCGGGGGCCTCACCGCGTCGCGCCGCTGAGCGAACTCCTCCTCGCGCTTTGTCTTGTACTCGTCGATCTCCGCCTGAGCCTCCTTCTTGGCGAGCTTCAGCCGCTGGTTCTTTCCTGAGGACACACGCAGACACACACAGACGTACAGACACCACACAGACACCACGCAGACACTACGCAGACACCCAGAGCCGTACAGACACCACAGACACTCACACACAGACACTCACACACAGACACTCACACACAGACACTCACATGCAGACACCCAGAGACGTACAGACACCCCACACAGACACTACGCAGACACTACGCAGACACCCAGAGACGTACAGACACCCACACAGACACCCACACAGACACCCAGAGACGTACAGACACCCACACAGACACCCACACAGACACCACGCAGACACCCAGAGACGTACAGACACCCACACACAGACACCAAACAGACACCACACACAAGGACACCACACACAGACACCCACACAGACACCACGCAGACACCCAGAGACGTACAGACACCCACACACAGACACCAAACAGACACCACACACAGACACCCACACAAGGACACCACACACAGACACCCACACAGACACCACGCAGACACCCAGAGACGTACAGACACCCACACACAGACACCAAACAGACACCACACACAGACACCCACACAAGGACACCACACACAGACACCCACACAGACACCACGCAGACACCCAGAGACGTACAGACACCCACACACAGACACCAAACAGACACCACACACAGACACCCACACAAGGACACCACACACAGACACCCACACAGACACCACGCAGACACCCAGAGACGTACAGACACCCACACACAGACACCAAACAGACACCACACACAGACACCCACACACAGACACCCACACAGACACCACACGCAGACACCACACACAGACACCCACACAGACACCCACGCACAGACAAAGATCCCCCGTGTAGCCTTAACAGACACCACGCAAACACCATATAGACTCCACTTACTCTGTTAGACCCATAGACACCCTACACACAGACAGACACCCTACACACAGACAGACACCATGCACACAGACAGACACCATTCACACAGACACCCTACACACAGACAGACACCATGCACACAGACAGACACCATGCACACAGACAGACACCCTACACACAGACAGACACCCTACACACAGACAGACACCATGCACACAGACAGACACCATGCACACAGACAGACACCATGCACACGGACAGACACCCTACACACAGACAGACACCATGCACACAGACAGACACCCTACACACAGACAGACACCCTACACACAGACAGACACCATGCACACAGACAGACACCATGCACACAGACAGACACCATGCACACAGACAGACACCCTACACACAGACAGACACCATGCACACAGACAGACACCATGCACACAGACAGACACCATGCACACGGACAGACACCCTACACACAGACAGACACCATGCACACAGACAGACACCCTACACACAGACAGACACCCTACACACAGACAGACACCATGCACACAGACAGACACCCTACACACAGACACCCTACACAGGCCCCACTTACTCTGGTAGACCCACAGACACCGTTACACAGAAAGACAAAGATCCCCCGTGTAGCCTTAACAGACTGTAGGGGCAAGTGCTGTTAGCGAGCACCTATGAAGGCCGGCACGGTACACGAGGGGGAGGGTGGCCAGCACCACGCCCGACCGCCTTTGTCTCCCTAGTGGCGATGTTTACACACCGCACCAGGTACTCATTTGAGGCTGAGTCGACCTAGGGGAGGCCCAGGACCGGTTCAGATAATCGTCACTTGGTGTTGGCCGTGAGCGGGAATCGAACCCGGGTCGCCGGGTTCATAGCGCAGCGTAGCGCTAACCACTACACCCACCGCTCCCCACACACACACCACAGACAGCAGACACCCACACAGACACCCACACACAGACACCACACACAAACACCACACACAGACACCCACACACAGACACCCACACAGACACCCACACACAGACACCACACACAAACACCACACACAGACACCACACACAGACACCCACACACAGACACCCACACACAGACACCCACACACAGACACCCACACACAGACACCCACACAAACACCCCACAAAGACACCCACACAGACACCACACACAGACACCCACACAGACACCCACGCAGACACCCACACAGACACACACACAGACAAAGATCCCCCGTGTAGCCTTAACAGACACCACGCAGACACCATATAGACTCCACTTACTCTGTTAGACCCATAGACACCCTACACACAGACACCCACACAGACACCCACACAGACACCCACACACAGACACCCACACAGACACCCACACGCAGACAAACAGACACCCTACACACAGACAGACACCCCACCCCCCCACCGAGGCCCCACTCACTCTGGTAGACACACAGACAGACACCCTACACAGACACACACACAGACACGCACACAGACACGCACACAGACACACACACACAAACCCACACACAAACCCACAGACACCCTACACACACACCCCACCCCCACACAGACACACCCCACCCCCACCGAGGCCCCACTCACTCTGGTAGACACACACACAGATACACACACACAGACACACACACACAGACAGACACACACAGACAGACACATACCACCACCTCCACCCCACTCACTCTTGCGAGCCTCGGACACACACACAGACACACACACACAGACACACACACACAGACACCCACACAGACAGACACACAGACACCCCACACACACACACCACCACCCCCACCCCACTCACTCTTGCGAGCCTCGGACACACACACAGACACACACACACAGACACACACACACAGACACCCACACAGACAGACACACAGACACCCCACACACACACACACACCACCACCCCCACCCCACTCACTCTTGCGAGCCTCGGACACACACACAGACACACACACAGACACACACACACAGACACACACACACAGACACACACACACAGACACCCACACAGACAGACACACAGACACCCCACACACACACACACCACCACCCCCACCCCACTCACTCTTGCGAGCCTCGGACACCTTCTCTGCCGCTCGCTTCTCTGCCTGCAGCAGCTGCTGGATGCCGTGGGACTGACTCGCCATTGCTGATGCTGCTGCTTCTTCCTGATGCTGCTGCTGCTACTGCTTCTTCCTGATGCTGCTACTGCTGCTGATGCTGCTACTGCTGCTTCTTCTGCTGATGCTGCTACTGCTGCTGCTACTGATGCTGCTACTGCTGCTGCTGCTTCTTCCTGATGCTGCTACTGCTGCTTCTTCCTGATGCTGCTACTGCTGCTACTACTACTGCTGCTGCTGCTTCTTCCTGATGCTGCTCCTGCTGCCTCTACCACCCCGAGACGTCACGTGACGGGGGGAGGGGGAGTAGGGGGAGTGGGGGGGAGGGAAGGGAGGTGACGTCACGCGAAGCGTCGGCGGCCATCTTGGTAAGGGATGATATTAAACATTCTTAGTTATTTTCGGTGAAGTCACGTAGGTAAAAAACATTAAAAAGTAAAATAAAATAAAAATAAAAAATCACGACGTTTCGGAGGCAACACAAGCCTCCGTCACCGAAAAAACCTAAGAATCCCTGCAGTCACGAAAGCTTCAAATCTAGAATTGATTTTAAACAATTTAGGATTTTTTTCTTCTTGGTTCTTTCGGTAAAGTCACGTAGAAGGGAAATAATAAAATAATAAACATAAAACATTATTAAATAATTCTCACGACGTTTCGGCCACAACGCAAGCAGCCGTCCTCAGGTGAAGAACAGGTCTGTCGAAACGTCGTGAGATTTATTTTATTATGTTTTATTTTTCATTATTTTATTATTTCCCTTCTACGTGACTTTACCGTAAGAACCAAGATGAATAATTTAGGGTTTCTTGAATTACTGTTTAACAAGTTTAAATCACTATTTACATTTCACCGTCTTGATTTTTGCATTTCTTTAAATGATATTTAGGCATTTACATTCACTCCATTATCTTGATTTTCCCTTTCTTAATTGGATATTTAAGATATACAAATCACTGTTTACGAACTTCACCAGGTAAGGCGCACCGAGCGTTTAGCTTTGTTAGAAACGACCCAGCCGCACATGATAGCTCAACGAAACGGCTTATCATCATTACCTGGACATTTACAGCAGCCACATACTCTAAGCGCATGTTTCTAAACGCAAAGCCCGTAGCCATGGAGTCAACATTGGCCAAATCTTTCAGGGGGTCCCCCCCCCCCCCCAGAAAAAAAAAAATTTTGAAAACGAATTTCCTGCCTAAAATATAAAACTTTTACTAACACATATAGGACGGACTTTTTATTTATTTTTTAACAATAATGTCTAATAGTGTATTGTATTACATTGTTCTGGTCTTTCTTTTTAACCTTTTCTTGTTTCATTGTATGTAATGGCAGAGATTCGGGATTAATAAAGTACAACCATAACCACAATCATATAAGCAGAAATCTATTTGATAATTGGTTTTTTACCCTTCTATCTGGCAACAAAACTGACATCTTTTTTTACGAGGAGTCATGTTTGCATAGACCACAATACCTGCAGTCATAATGCAAACAAAAAACACAACTCTGATAATGTATGCACTGTCCTTGAAGTTGATTGGTCCACACCCGATTGTCTGCATTGTCTTTGAGTTGTGCGCCTTTTGGTGTCATCTGGTCCAACACCATGTGAGACTAGGCTCTAAGGAAAGCTGTCTCGGGTGTGGACCAATCAACTTCAAGAACAGTGCATACACTATCAGAGTTGTGTTTTTTGTTTGCATTATGACTGCAGGTATTGTGGTCCATGAAAACATGACTCCTTGTAAAAAAGGTGGCAGTTTTGTTGCCAGATAAAAGGGTAAAAAACCAATTATCATATTTTTACTGGCAAATGAGGTTCCCATGGTGTAAATGCTTACCCCGAGCTCTCATACTCTGATGGTGCATTGTCTTTGAGTTGTGCGCCTTTTGGCGTCATCTGGTCCAACCCATGTGAGACTAGGCTCTAAGGAAAGCTGTCTCGGGTGTGGACCAATCAACTTCAAGGACAGTGTATACATTATCAAAGTTGTGTTTTTTTTTGCATTATGGCTGCAGGTATTGTGGTCTATGCAAACATGACTCCTCGTAAAAAAGGTGTCAGTTTTGTTGCCAGATAGAAGGGTAAAAAAAAACAATTATATTTTTTACTGGCAAATGAGGTTCCAATGGAGAAAACTATTTTATAGCAATATTGGGGGGGACATTTTGAACATATTTTAATATTGGGGGGGTGTGGGCATGTGTCCCCAAATCTATATTATAATTACGGCCTTGTTCTAAACTAAAAGATATTTTTTATTTCACCAGGATAAGGCCCACATGTAGCTGCTACGTCGCTCTGTGCTATCACAAGTGATAGCAGCTCAACGAACTGGCTTATCATCATCGTCATCGTCCCGTGCACATTTATAGCAGCCAAACACTCAAAGGGACCGTCCATAAATGACGTCACGCGGTCTTGGACGATTTTTGACCCCCCCCCCTCAAATATGACGTCACAAAGCTCTGCCCCCCCCCCCCCCCCAATTTTTTTTTTTCGATTTTAAAAATAAAACACGCTTTAAACTATTGTCATTGTAGTGCGTATTTAATGTGGCGCTGCTCCACTCTGATGTTGTAGGAGACAACAGTTATTTAAAAGGTCTAAATTTCGATTTAAAGCTTTCGTGACTGCAGGGATTCATCTTCTTGGTTCTTTCGGTAAAGTCATCACGTAGAAGGGAAGTAATAAGTGAGAATAGTTTTATTTTATTTTATTTTTATTATTTTATTACTTCCCTTCCACGTGACTTTACCGAAAGAACCAAGAAGATTAAAAGGTCTATTTAATTAAGTAGAACGTGTTGTATATATTTATTTAAAAGTTGCGCATTTTTATGTGACGTCACATTTCCCCCCCCCCCCCCCCCACCTCGTCACAAAAGTATGACCCCCCCCCCCCTTAGGTGCGTGACGTCATTTATGGCCGGCACCCTATAACGGGGCGGGGGGCTACCCCTACCCAAGATGGCGCCTCCGGCTCTACGCCAGTTGCGCGTCCTGATTGGTCGCCAACTCAACCACGTGACGGGGCGAGACCGTTGACCAATCAAACGCGCGAGCTCGTGCCGGGCACGTGATCACAGCTCCTCCCACCAGCTCCCCCCACCACCCACCCCCCCCCCGGAGTGACGTCACCCGAAGCGCGTGACTTGTGACGTCACGGGCGCGTGCCCGCGTCACGTGAGCGCCAGCAACACCCACCATACCTGCTAAAAATTTTAAGTTTAGATTTAGTGTGCGTCTCATATGAGTTTATGGGTCTCTGTGGTTCTCTGTGGGTATCTATGGGTCTCTGTGGATCTCATATGAGTTTATGGGTATCTATGGGTCTCTGTGGGTCTCTGTGGGTCTCTGTGGGTCTCATATGAGTTTATGGGTCTCTGTGGGTCTCATATGAGTTTATGGGTCTCTGTGGTTCTCTGTGGGTCTCTGTGGGTCTATGTGGGTCTCTGTGGGTCTCATATGAGTTTATGGGTCTCTGTGGTTCTCTGTGGATCTCTGTGGGTCTCTGTGGGTCTCTGTGGGTCTCGTATGAGTTTATGGGTCTCTGTGGGTCTCATATGAGTTTATGGGTCTCTGTGGGTCTCTGTGGGTCTCGTATGAGTTTATGGGTCTCTGTGGTTCTCTGTGGGTCTCTGTGGGTCTCTGTGGGTCTCTATGGGTCTCTATGGGTCTCATATGAGTTTTTGGGTCTCTGTGGGTCTCATATGAGTTTATGGGTCTCTGTGGGTCTCTGTGGGTCTCGTATGAGTTTTTGGGTCTCTGTGGGTCTCATATGAGTTTATGGGTCTCTGTGGGTCTCTGTGGGTCTCGTATGAGTTTATGGGTCTCTGTGGGTCTTTATGGGTCTCTGTGGGTCTCTATGGGTCTCTATGGGTCTCTATGGGTCTCATATGAGTTCATGGGTCTCTGTGGGTCTCTATGGGTCTCGTATGAGTTTATGGGTCTCTGTGGGTCTCTATGGGTCTCATATGAGTTTATGGGTCTCTGTGGGTCTCATATGAGTTTATGGGTCTCTGTGGGTCTCTGTGGGTCTCGTATGAGTTTATGGGTCTCTGTGGGTCTCTATGGGTCTCTGTGGGTCTCTATGGGTCTCATATGAGTTCATGGGTCTCTGTGGGTCTCTATGGGTCTCGTATGAGTTTATGGGTCTCTGTGGTTCTCTATGGGTCTCATATGAGTTTATGGGTCTCTATGGGTCTCTGTGGGTCTCTATGGGTCTCATATGAGTTTATGGGTCTCTGTGGGTCTCTGGGTCTCTATGGGTCTCATATGAGTTTATGGGTCTCTGTGGTTCTCTATGGGTCTCTATGGGTCTCATATGAGTTTATGGGTCTCTATGGGTCTCATATGAGTTTATGGGTCTCTGTGGTTCTCTGTGGTTCTCTATGGGTCTCTGTGGTTCTCTGTGGGTCTCATATGAGTTTATGGGTCTCTGTGGGTCTCTGTGGGTCTCATATGAGTTTTTGGGTCTCTGTGGGTCTAGTATGAGTTTATGGGTCTCTGTGGTTCTCTATGAGTCTCTGTGGGTCTCTGTGGGTCTCTATGGGTCTCGTATGAGTTTATGGGTCTCTGTGGGTCTCTGAGTCTCTGTGGGTCTCTGTGGGTCTCTATGGGTCTCGTATGAGTTTATGGGTCTCTGTGGGTCTCTGTGGGTCTCTAGGAGTCTCTGTGGGTCTCTGTGGGTCTCGTATGAGTTTATGGGTCTCTGTGGTTCTCTGTGGTTCTCTATGGGTCTCTGTGGTTCTCTGGGTCTCTGTGGTTCTCTATGAGTCTCTGTGGGTCTCTGTGGGTCTCTATGGGTCTCGTATGAGTTTATGGGTCTCTGTGGTTCTCTGTGGGTCTCTAGGAGTCTCTGTGGGTCTCCATGGGTCTCATATGAGTTTATGGGTCTCTGTGGTTCTCTATGGGTCTGTGGTTCTCTATGGGGGTCTGTGGTTCTCTATGGGTCTCTGTGGGTCTCTATGGGTCTCATATGAGTTTATGGGTCTCTATGGATCTTTATGGGTCTCTGAGTATGGGTCTCTATGGATATCTGTAGGTATGTGTTTCTATGGGTGTCTGTGGGTCTCTTAGGAGTCCTGTAAGGATCTGTCTACGTCTTGCGCAGTATGGGTCTGAGTATGGGTCTCTATGAGGATGGGTCTGTGGATTTGTGGGTCTCTTGAGTGTGGGTGTGTACGTGTCTCTTAGTATGGGTCTATATGAGTCTTAATGAGTAAGGGTCTATGGGTCGCTGTGAGCATGGGTCTGTGTAGTCTGTAGAAACTTGC